TTTTCTTCATCTGGGTACAGTTTTCTTCATTCATCTAATGCAATGAAATTGTCTATAAGTAAAGGAGAAATTTGCCAAGTCTCTTAAAAAGTGTTTTTTCATCTGTACTCAGAACCTTACATACCATATTTCTCTTAGATACCTGTGCCTGTCTTTGTTTCTCCTCCTTTGGAGTCTTCAACTTTTCTCTTTATTATTCCTTCTCATTAATAGTTAAACATGCTCAAGTCTCTACATACCTGTTTTTTAAAAGGCCCTGCTCCAGCTCTTTTCTCCATTGTAGCCAGATACCTTAAAAGCTTTCCACATAGCTCCAGTCACTTCTGGACCCCCTCCCTTCTAGTTTTGCTTTTATATCTTCAATAACCAGGGTAAGATGCAGCCTAGAATATGTGCTTACTGAACATTTATTAAATGTATGATTGAACAATTGAATATCTGCTGGTGAGGTGATCCAAGTCTGTTGACAGGTTTCTAGTGATGTTCTTGTATAAGGCATACTCTTTGGGATTTATTTTTGGTGCCTCAGTTAACTTACATCTGTAGTTGATGATACTCATCATGAATGACAAAGCCAAATACATTTTTATCAGCATGTTTTATTTTGTTTTGGATGACATGTTTCACCATTCCACTAATCTTGTTTTTTCTTTTATTTGTTTAGCATTTAATGTTTTATAATACTTCTGCATGTAATATTTTAGTTTTCCTCAGCATCTTTGTGAAGTAGGCAGTATAAGAAGGTACTCCTGATTTGGTGATTAAATTATTCAGACTCAGACCAACTAAAGTATTTTCCCAAGTCATATACAAAGTTAACGATATATCTCGGACTAGCACCCAAGATTGTCAACATATTGAGTTCTTCTGCTATTGCATGTTGATTATAATAAAAAATTCAGGAACAAAATATAGAAAATTATCAAAGTGAGTAGTAATCTGAATATGAACCTCTAAATAAATTGTTTTACCTTTCTATGGAGGGCGGTGCTGGGAGATGAACCCAGGACCTTGTATGTGCTAAGCACACACTATACCACTGGGAGCTATATCTCTATCCCCACATGTTTTTAAAACTGTGTTCCAGGTGGCTATGAGAATTTTTTTTTTCATTTTTCTTTTATTATTCATATGTGCATACAAGGCTTGGTTCATTTCTCCCCCCTGCCCCCACCCCCTCCCTTACCACCCACTCCGCCCCCTCCCTCTCCCCCCCCCTCAATACCCAGCAGAAACTATTTTGCCCTTATTTCTAATTTTGTTGTAGAGAGAGTATAAGCAATAATAGGAAGGAACAAGGGTTTTTGCTGGTTGAGATAAGGATAGCTATCCAGGGCATTGACTCACATTGATTTCCTGTGCGTGGGTGTTACCTTCTAGGTTAATTCTTTTTGATCTCACCTTTTCTCTAGTACCTGTTCCCCTTTTCCTATTGGCCTCAGTTGCTTTAAGGTATCTGCTTTAGTTTCTCTGCGTTAAGGGCAACAAATGCTAGCTAGTTTTTTAGGTGTCTTACCTATCCTCACCCCTCCCTTGTGTGCTAAAGCTTTTCTCATGTGCTCGCTATGAGAATTTTTTGACACACTCACCCTTGAATGCCACTGACATGATTAGGTAGTAGCAGCAAAGAATGAATAACGTGTTGGAGAACCTGAAGAAAGTAAGGCACCCGAGGGTTGTTTGCTGCTGATATTAAACTAATGGTCTTAGCTAAGCAACTTCAAGTTTGTGGTTTGGCCTAGAAATGAAATGGCATTTCTGTTTGTAAACTCAATACACCCCTGTGTTCCTGTGCTGTCATGACTGACACTTTATGGGATCCCTGCAGGGGACATAACTAATAAGAAGGTGTGAAAAAATTCTTATTGTTAAGTGTTCTTACCTGTCTTTTGAAAGCAAAATGAGTAGGAAGGTGGGGTTAGGTTTTGGAGTGTTAGATCAGTGATTTGAATTACTGAGGATTTCTTAATTGCCATCATTAAGTGTTTTGAATTCGGTAAATGAAATCTCATTCTGAATGCTTGCTAAATTAAAGAATTAATTTAACTTTGATTTTGATGTGGGGGCCAATTTGACCACCTCAGGTCTCATTTCTCTACCATTTCACCCCACTATGCTATGTTGTGCTTCCATCCCTCCATACCCACTTGCTCTCCAGAGCCTCCAACTCTGATTGGGTTCCCTCCTCTCTTTTTGGAACTTTATATAGTTTGAGTTTTAGGTAATTTAGTTTATATGGGCCTCTATCATTAGACCAAGTGATACTCTTTTCAAAGAGTACGTGTCACATAACAGCCAAGTTTGAAGCAGTGAATTAAGGTGGGTAAAAGTGGAGCTTCTGGGATCAAACGGAGCTGTTTTACATCACAGCTCCACCAGTGCCTGGTTCTGTGACCCTGAGAAAATTCTAGCATTTCTTTCCTCCTCTCTAAATGGGGATGGTATCTTCCTCTTAAAGTCATAGTCAGAATTGAGGAGCTAACCATGATAAATACTTTGCACATTGCATGACATATGATAAGGGTTAGGTAAATTCAGTTGTAATTATTCTTGCTATTATTATTATTACAAAGGAGCTGGATACAGCTGGGAATTTTTGTGTGACCATGGGAAATTTGCTTCTCTCATTAGGAGCTCATTTTTTTTCCGTCTAAGATAGTGAAGGTACTAAGAAGACTACTATTGCCTTGTGGACAAAAGATAGACACTTTTTAGGTCTGATTTTGTTAATGTCTGTTTCAAATCTCATTTTGTTTTACCTTCACCTTGATGTTTTCTCATTATTCAGGCCTTATTCTGTCCATCAAAATGACTTGTTCAGATGTAATATTCCTTTAGATTCTTCTAGGTAACAGCTCACTTAATAAGCAATTTCATGAACATGTGTTCTAGATAACCAGTAACGATAGGTTTGGTATAATGGTTTAATGTGTTACCATTTTAAGATAGTATTTCTAAAAGCCAAAAGGATTCTTCTGGTGAGATTTAAAAAAAAAAACCAAACACCTGTGTTTCTCAAGTTTTCTACCAAAGCCCGGAGGGTTTAGAGAACATGCCCATAGTTTACCTTTCCAATCTTGCTCCTATCATTAAATGTCTTTGATTTGCCATATTTTATGTTAATATTCATTTAAACTTTGCATTAGTGCTAAAATTATATGCCAGTTTTTATTTAACTTCCTACAAAACTGATGCTTCAAGATGTATGCCATGTGTATCTGGTGGCATGGAGTGCCCCTTCTAACCTAGCTTACAGCAGCAAGATAGCTAAAGTTCTAAAGGGAGAACTTACCTGAGCACGTCTGTAAGGGAGACGTTTTTGACTGTGATCAAGGCATTTGTAGAAGGTGACTTGTATAACTTTGAAGGAATTTGCAATTGCCATGAATTAAAACCTGACACAGTTATCACTGACCATCACATTTGAAACAACTCTTTTCCTTTTTCCCTTAGGACTCATATGCAAGCTTTACAATCCAAAATGTCTCCAAATTATTATAATTTAAATTTCATTCCTTTGGTTCACCTTAGAAAATTTGGACTTGTGGAAATATGCTTTCTTTCCTTTAAGAGCAGTGGCTTTCTCAGACTATCTTTTGATCTTTGTCTGCAGTTTCAGGCTGGCATGGTAAAAGGACAACTAGGAGACCCACAATCTGATAGCTATTTGGCCTCCAGCAAGTCATTTCTTCAAACTTGATTTTCTTTACATAAAACATTTTATGATTATGATGATCTCCCAAATGAGAGACTTGTGGTTAAATATTCCTCCCTAGTAGCCAGTACTTTCCTGTCTGTACTACTTGTTGCATTTGCAATCATTTTATTTGCTATCTGTATTTTCTGTAAAACTGTAACCTTGCTAGGCCATGTCTGTTTTCCTTACAACTGTGCCAAGTGCCTTTTACACTGCTTGACATACAATATTCATTCATTTATTCCAAAAATATCTTTTTAATGCCTACTAAGTGGTAGGAACTTTTTTTAGACACTGGAAAAATAGTAGAAGTATGTTAGGAATGACCTCCAATGTCATGGAGTTTATTACTAATATTTTGTGTGTGTGGTGTGAATTACTAGGGACTGAACCCAGGGCTTTGCCCAGTCTAGGCAACCACTTTAAAACTGAGCTAATATCCCCAGCCCCTCATGGAATTGAAAATTTTTTATTGTAGTGCTTGAAATCAAACCCAGGCTCTCACTTATGCTGTGCACTGATCTGTATTCCCAGTCTGGTTTAGATTAATGCAGTCCTGATTCTTTCTTTCTTTCTTTCTTTCTTTCTTTCTTTCTTTCTTTCTTTCTTTCTTTCTTTCTTTCTTTCTTTCTTTCTTTTTTCTTTCTTTCTTTCTTTCTTTCTTTCTTTTTTTGAGGGATTTCTTTTATTTGTTTGTTTGTTTATTTTTTCCTTTATTGTTGTGCTGGGGGGGTACATTGTGGCATTTACAGAAGTTCTTACAATGTGTCAAATATATCATACTTGAATTTGCCTCCTCCACAGCTCTCGTTTATTGTCCTCTCAGTCCTGCTTTAATAGAACTTTCTGTGACAGTGGGAATATTCTTTATTAACCACATGTGATTATTGAATGGAATGTGGCTGGTGTGAATAAGGAACTGAATTTTTAGCTAAGTTTAGTTAATTAAAATTACTACATATATTCAATGACTACTAGATCAGTAATACCATTCTATAGGATTAAGAGGTTAGAGATAAAAGTAGGTAAACACATAAAGTAATTTCACTTAATGATTTGAACTGAAAAGGGAGAAAACAGGTGATGAAATGTAACTTGGGAAGTACTTTAGGTAGGGTATGTCTAATTGAGTAGGCATTAATCAATAAGTACAAAATGAACAAATTATGAAATTATGTATTTTTAAGTTTGCTACTTGGTACATTAGGAATGTTTATTTATTGATCTAGTGTATTTCTTTTGGAAAACAAACTCCAAACCCTCATGTTTCTATCATTTTATTAATTATAAATTTTTTTTCTAGCCCTGAGTTGTCATCTCCAGTTCCTGTTGGTGATACCTCAACATTGGGAGGTACGCTTTTGTGGTTTTCACTTTTTTAAAGTTATTTATGGCTTAGGACAATCTTACAAGCAAGTACAATTTTTCAGCTCACATTTTTAAAATATCAGGGTTTTCTTATGTATTGTTCAACAGTCTTGAAAAACAGCAAATTTTTTTCACTTGGTATTATGTTGTGATTATTAAAAATACTTAAGTTTAATACAAAGCAGACCATGGCTTAACAGAAAAGTCTGACATAATGAATTATTTTAATTAATTATTTTACCCTATAACCACCTTTTTAGCTCCACTATTTGTCAAATCCTGTAATTTCCCAGAGTAAGGATTTTTCTGATCACATTCTGAAATACAGTTTAACAGAGTCCTTTTACCTGGGTATTTCCTGTAACTTAGTAGTGGTACTTTATTGTTATTTTTCACAGTGCTGGGAATGGAACACAAGGCCTTGTGCCTGCTATGCAAGCACTATACTACTGGGCTACACCCCAGCCCATGTTCTTTATTTTTAGTTTAAAAATATAAGCTTCATTTTATAAATTCCAACATGCACTAAAATAGAATAGTGTGATGTGATCCAGTTTCAATGATTATCAAATGATGGCCATTCTCTCACTCTCTGGTAGAGTTACACCTCTCGGTCTCTGTTCCATTACTAGATAGCTCCTTAAGGATAGAAATTTTCTCTTTGTATGTCCAACATCTAACACAGAGCCTAGCATATGGTGGGTACACAAAAAGTGCTTATTGAATGAGTTGTAATTATTTCTTGTTCTGGGAAGATGCTGTGCAAATGTGTCTACAGTTAAAATGAACTGAATTTCCAGTATAGAAAAGCATGGTGTTGGAAGTCAGCTCTTTATTTCTCAGTATGAATTCTGACTTGCTCGGGGAACAATTTCATACTTGTGTTTTTATTTTTCTGCTTAGGTGCTGCTTTTAGTGTACCATATCCAGGGATAGCCTCCTACGAAGATGCTTCAGAGAGCAGTTTGGAGAGGCCAGAGGACAGTGTGAGTCATGCTGTTTTGCTACTTAGTTTCTAAGGTGGAGGGAGGACAGGAGTTAAGTGGGAGTTTATACTCTATTGCTGGAACACACAGGATTTCACAGGGTTCCATGCTATGAAAATATCACAGATTCTGAAATCAGTACATTAAAAAAAAAGTCTGACATTCTTTGAAGAGCCAAATAAACCTGTCATGCTGGCAAGTTTTTGGTGAGAAAGGATGTCAAATTGTAACTGAATGATTTGTGGCCTGGGGAACTCTTATTGTGATAAGGCTACCCTTTAATAGGCTTATGTATTCTATCCCTTAATAGATCAGATATTAGCCTTCTCTTCTTTAAAAGGAAGGGATATAGATTTTATGTAGTTTAAAATTCAAAGAGTATCATGCTTCATAAATGTACCATTATTTTTTCCTTTTTTATTGTGTTGGGTGGGGGGTACATTGTGGCATTTACACAGGTACTTACACTGTATCAAATATATCATACATGAATTCACCCCTTCCACCATTCTCCTTTATATCTCCCTCCCTCCGTTCCTGGAATACTTTGAGCAGGTATCATTTTTCTATTTACAAAAATGTGTACACAGTATGTGCACAATATTCACCCTCTTATCCCTTTTTCCCCCATCACCTCCTCCTCCCACTGGTACCAACAACCACCCCCCCATCCCTGGGCAGGACCTGTTCTCTGATTTTGTAGAAGAAAAAAGAAAGAAAAAGAAAACACATTTTTGCTTGTTTAAGATAGCTGCACAGGGAGTTTCCTTGTGACATTTCCATGTGTGTATGAATTGGCTTATCTTCTATATTTTTCTTCATCCTACCTTAGTACCTTTCTTATGGTGGTTTCAACTGGCTTATAAATTCTATATTCATTTTTGTATAGAGAGTACATCAACCATATCCACCTTCTTAATTTCCTTCTTTTACTCTACCCCTCTCATATGTGTATCCCCTTAGTGTGACCTGTTTTTCACATTTGTATTAGGTCTCATATTCTATATAAGAGAAAACATGAAGTTTTTGGCCTTCTGAACCTGGCTAACTTCACTTAAGATGATGTTCTCCAGTAACATCCATTTACCTGCAAATGACAAAATTTCATTCTTTTTTGTGGCTGAATAAAATCCCATTGTATATAAATACCACATTTTCTTAATCCATTCATCAGTAGTAGGACATTTTGACTTTTCCATAGCTTAGCTATTGTGAATAATGCTGCAATAAACCTGGGTGAATGCACCGTTATTAATAGGAACCTGTCTTCTAAACACTAAATCCTACAGCTGAATATCTATTATAAAAAATTACAGATTACCTTACAAAATATACATTGTGCAGGCATTTAGAAGCATTTTAGAAATTTTGTTAACTTCTGAATTTTAAGAGTATATATACTTTATATTTTAAGAGTGTATGTATATGTGGTTTTTGTAGGTATAATTTTTCAATTAACATATATACATCTTTCTGGGTTCTAGTATGATCTATCAATACATGTAGATAATGTACATTATTATAACTATCACCTCAAGCATTTATCATTTCTTTGTGTTGGGAATTCATTTAAAAGCTTCCTGTTGTGGCAGTGTAGTCAGAGGAGAAACCAAGCGACACTCGGAGGAGTGGAGAACTCAGATTTTATTTTTACGCCAGCGGGCTCAGACGTGTACCTGTGTCTGAGCCCTGAACAAAGGATTCACAAGGTATTTAAAAGGTAGTGTAGGGCATCAGGTTACAAAGATGTGCTCAGGTTATGGTGTCCTAACCAGTGAGTTAGATTGTTTAGGTTAATTGGGCTGGTAGTGAGCTAGGGACCTAGTGTTGTTTAGATAAGAACAGCAGGGGAGACCTGCTTTGGAAAATTTATTTACAAGTGGAGACAAAGAAAGGCAGGAATGGGTGCTTATCTCTGCATGGTGCCTTTCATCTCAGTCCTGAACTTTTGGATGGCTGTCTCACAGTTCTGTCGGAGGTTACAGCTTTTGGTTGATAGTTTACCGTGTTTTATGGCCCTGTTTCAAAGCTATCTTCCTCTTCACTCCCACTAGCTCTTTTGAAATATACAATTAGTTGTTGTCGTGCGGTACTATACAACATCAAATGTGATTCTGCATGATACCCACTAACCATCCGTCCTCTGTGGACCTGAACATTTTTGAGGCAAAAATGAACAGTTGTCCCAGAGAAGAAATGTGAACGAGTTGGGTTCAGATCCCAGTTGTTATTCGGAACTTTCCATAGCTCCATAGTATGTTTTCAAGTCAGATATTTTGATCTCCCAACTTTATTCTTTTTGTTCTAGATTTTTTTTTTCCTTATTTGGCATTTTTTTGGGTTCCATGTGATTTTTTTTTCTTTTTTTGTGAAGAAGTCATTGATATTTTGATGGGGATTATATTTAATCTGAGATTGCTTTGGGCAGTATAGACATTTTAACAATTCTAATTGTTCTAATCCATGAACATTGAATGTCTTATCTTTTTTTTCCTTCAGTGTTTTATAATTTTCATTGTAGAGTTCTTTCACTCCATTGATTAAATTTATTCCTAAGTATTTTAATTTTTGGTAGCTATTCCAAATGAGACCGCTTGTTGCGGGAAGAATGTCAGACAAACGAGAACAAGACTCAAACCCAGGTGGTTGGAGGAAAGAAAGATTTATTACGCTAGGGGTCCAGCACCTGGATCTCTCCAAAAATGGCACTGGCCCTGTAGCTCAGGACTGTGGGGTTTTTATGCCTCAGAATGCAGAAGCAAGCAAGCGGGAAGGACAAAAGTAGATGTGGCAGTTAGCCTCTCACTGGGAGGTTACAACATATCATACTAGCACAAGGTTACAACTTATTATCACACTAGCACAAGGTTACAGCATACCATATTAGCACATCTGTGAAACAGGGGCCTGGCCGGGGGAGGGAGCTTGCCTTCAGCTCTTTCCCCTGGGTTTCTTTATCAGCTTTTAAAATTTTTTCAGCAAGTTTAGTGTTAGTTTATAAAAATGCTACTCTCTCTGTGCTGATTTTGTATCTTGTAATTTCACTGAATTGGTGCATGAGTTCTAACAGTAATTTTGGTGGAATATTCAAGGTTATTTTTTTTTTTTCTAAATATAGAGGCATATCATCTGCAAACAGATAATTTGACTTACTTCTTTGAGAAGGCACCTTTGGGAGCTTTTCCTTTCTTTCTTTTGTGTAATCGCTGTGACAAAGCCTTGCAGTACTATGTTAAATAAAACTGCACCTTGCACTTTTATGTTATGGATATTTCTTCTTTCTTAAACCTCACAAATCAACCTCTACTAGCTTTTCTCCTTTAGCTTCCTCATCTCTCTTAGCTTTTCATAGAATTGAAGCAAGTTATGGTCTAGTTCTGGATAACACTTTGGCTGAAGGGAATTTTGTGGCTGGTTTGATCTAAATAAACCAGTAAAATTTTCTCCATATCAGAAATCAGACTGTTTTGCTTCTTTATAATTCATGTGTTTACTGGGCTAGCATTTTTAATTTCCTTCAAGAACTTTTACTTTGCATTCACACTTCAGCTAACTGGCACAAAAGGCCTTTCAGCCTAGCTTGTCTTTTGACATTCCTTTCTTACTGAGCTTAATTATTTCTGTTTATTTAAAAGGAGAGCAGCAGACTCTCCCTTTTATTTGGATGTTTAGAGCTCATTGTAGGATTTTTTCTTGGCATAATTTCAATATTGATATGTTTCAAGGGATAGGGAGGCCCAAAGAACAGGAGAGAGATGGTGAATGGCTGGATGGTGGAGCATCTGATATGAGCATGGCTTTTGATGCTCCCAAATTTTTGCAATAATATCAAGAATGCCTGTTCGTAGATCACTGTAACAGATACAATATCGATGAACAAGCTTGAAATATTTTGAGAATTATGAAAATGTAACACAGAGACATAAAAGGAGCACATGCTATTGGAAAAATGGGGCCCATATATTTGCTCAGTGCAGGGTTGCCACAAACTTTCTCTCTGTAACAAACATTATCTGCAGAGTGCAATAAAGCAAAATGATATGTGCCTATATTTCTGTTTATTTTGGTTTGGATTTGTTGTACTTCCTTAGTATGAAGTATTATCTGCAACAAATTCTGAGAAATTCTCAGCTGTTGCTTTTCATGATAAGATGTATGTCTAACCTCCTCATTTTGTTCCTGTGTCTCTTCCTTGCTTTAATAGCTTATTTGTTGAAATGAAACTCCATATTGCATTCAATCCTTTCATTTCACTAATTCTTCTTTGAGTCTGGACTAATAATTTTGTTCAAACTGTCTATTGAGTTTTTAGATTCCTTGCTTTGGTCTTTGATTTGAATTTTCAATACGTAAAGGCCTTCCACTTTGTCTCTTACCCCTTTTGTGGTATTTAATACTAAAATATAAATCATGAAGTAATAGTAAGATATTCATGGAAGCTGCCACCTTCAGTAGTGAGTTACCCCTTTGGATTCTTGTAATCTATCTTTTTCTGACATCTGGAGTTTGTTTTTACTTGTATTAAAAACAATAAAAATATTTATTCAATCTTTTAGGTGTTCTTCAGCAGTAAGATTACCCAAGATATTTATTTTATAATAATGCTAGGAATGGAAAACTCTCCAAATTTTAGTGATATGAAGTTTAATATGGAAAAACGCAGTCCCATGTAAAACTCTGCTATATATTTCTGTTAATAGCAACCTAAAAACTATGCCAGCTGAAAAATGATAATTTCTTCAAGGTTAGTGGCTGTGGAATCAAAAAACATGTCAAGACCAGGCATGCTGGTGCACGACCTTATGTAATCCCAGCTACAATGTCTTAATTAGTTAGACCCACTTATGGGTGCCATACTCTAAGGAAAACATTACTTCCTAAGTGTCAAGAGGAGAGGAACTAGTGAAAAGTCAGGAAAGACATGATAACTGCTCATGCATTTTTTGAAAAAGATCCCAGGGCTACAGTTTGTATTTGTGACCCAGGTCATAGAACTTGCCTCAATGGTGGAACTAACAGGGAGGTAATTTGGGTTTAATGTTAAGAATTTTCCAACTATGATAGCTTTTGGAAATGTGCTTCTTTCTTATCACAGCCATTTAAATTGATGGTGAACATTTGTCAGGGATATTGTAGGTAGAATTCAAGCATCAGTTAAGAAGGCAAATATGGTTGATTTACTTCCTATATTAGAATGAATATAGAATTTTTAAATCTGTTGAAATCACCACAAAAAAGGGACTAAGATTCATCCTTTCTAATCCCTGGTTTTCTTATGTATCAAAATGGAAAGAGTTGGAGTAAGTGAGCTCAAGTGTATCTTGTGTGCAGTAATTATCACTGTTGTGTTCCAGTGTTCGTAGAATTCCTTCGTTCCTTCTATGTTCATTAAATGGAGTTCTCCTTAAGAAACTGTTATTTTACTCTCACTTATTTAGTCTTTTATACATATCAGTATGGTCTTGTGGATATTATTTTATTCTTTGTATAATACAATTTTATTTTGAGCTCAAATTATTTCTCATTTGGCCACTGGAAGGTCTGTATTGTTTTCAGTGCTAAGGATTGAACTTAGAGCTTTGCATATGTTAGGCAAGTGCTCTATGGCTCTATCACTGAGCTACATCTCAGCCAAAACCTAGATCTTTGTTTTACAAAACACTACAAAAATTGTTGAATTTTTGCTTTTTTTGCAGTACTGGAGCTTGAACTCAGGGCCTTGTGCTTTCTAGGCAAGCATTATACAACTTGAACCATATCCCCAGCCCTTTTTTGCTTTTGTGATGTTCCAAATAGGTCTCTCATTTTTGCTCAGGGCCAACTTCAAACCTCCTTACCTGCTAGCCTCCCCATAACTGATATTACAGACATATACCACCAAGTCTGGCTTGGTGATTGAGATGGGTCTTGCTAGCTTTTTACCTGGGCTGGCTTTGAACTACGACCCTCCTAATCTCTGCTTCTGAGTAGCTGGGATTAGACATGAGCCACCATGCCTGGCCTTTAAATATGTTTTTTGATTCTACTAGTCACTAATCTTGAAGAAATTACATTTTTTGATCTAATGTAGTATCAAAAAAGAATATCCCCACTTACCTAAAAAAGTTATTAATGTATTTTTCCTTTTTGCAGTACATATCTGTCTGGCTAGATTTTCTTCATGTACATCAGTTAAAATAGCATATTACAATTAATTGAATACAGAAGTAAATATGAGAATTCAGTTATTTTGTGTTAAGCCAGATATTCAAGAATCTGCAAAACCATAAGCAAGGTCACTCTTCCCACTTTTTTATTTTGCAAAATGTTATTTTTACATGAAATGGATTTGTTATTGTTATTTTACATGAATTGATAAATATTTTTCAAGATTCTGTTTAGTTTTTTTGTTTGGTAAATATAGGTATAATACATTTAAACTAAACTCTGTAAGTTGCTCAATTATTTTTAGGAATTTTGGGGGATTCTTCACTCAGAGCTTTGCACTTGCTAGGTGGACACTTTAATGCTTGAGCCTCGGCCTTATTTTTAGGAACTTAAAGGACTCTAGGACTAAAAAGTTTTAAGAACTGCCCTCTCAGCCATTTTTAGGTGATAATTGCAGCAGAGCCAACTCAGTTTTTACTCACTTTGATGATTTTCTATGGAAAAATTTCTATCTTCCCCCAAACTAGTCAATTTGTGGTCAAAGGAATGTATAAATGCTCAGTAATTTTAATATTAGCCTACATATTAAAATCTCTCAGTTTGTTCCTCAGTTAAGTGCTACATTAAAGAATCATCATCAGAAGTTGCCTTTGGCTCAGTGTCTGGAATTTTGTGGAGAATCTATAAATGTGTGTTGACTAAATGAATAAACTCTGATATTTATTGTTCTTTTCTAAAAAATCTAGATTAGCAATGAAATTGAGACTGTGATAGAAGAGCCCATGAGACCAGCAGCTGAGCAGATTGCAGAATTCATAATCCACCTTTTGGGGAAGCAATACAGAGAAGAGTTGCAGGACCCCTCCAGCTCCCACCACCAGAACCTTGTGAAAGAGTTTATTTCAGAGGTGGGTGGTTTTTTTGGTTTGTTTGTTTTGATAAGCAAGACAGTTTTCTGGGGGTGGAAGCATCTCATATTCACAACAGGTAGGTCTAGGATTCCAGCTGTCCATCTACTTAGTTCTTGAGGTGATGACTTAACCATCTCTGCAGAAGCTCTATGAAAAGTTCACAGAAAGACAGATAAATTCTTCCACAGAACCAAAATCTTGCCATCTGCTAACAAATGTGTGGCTCTTTCCAACTTATGCCACACAGCCAAGGAATAATGAGTTCTATGGCATGGTTTTGACTTGACAATATTTGGAAAAATAAGCATCTCTGAGCAACTATGTACAATGTGTTGTTTTTCTGGAAAGAACATTGGATTGAATTTCTTTACATTTCAACCTTAGTATTTTTTTTCTTAAGTTGAAAAATTTGTAGTTAACACACGGGTAATATATAATAACAAAGTTTAGAAGTGCTAAAGGGCATATAGTGAAAAATGAATTTCCCTCCTATCTCTCTGTTCCTTGGTAAGAGGTATTTTTTTAAAAAGGGATTATTAAAAGAACCATGAATTAGATCATGCCATAACTTTACTTTCTGGAAAAATTCTGTGTAGGACTTGAACTTACGATTCTTCCAGTTAAACCACATATTAGTGCATTTTCTTCTACCTGTGCACTGAGTACACTGGACTCTCTTCCATTTGAAAATGACAGTGTGGAGTATATGATTTACATTAAAAGAGGGAAGAGAATTGCTATACATAATTAAAAATTTTTAAAGATTTATAGTTCAGGGACAATAACTAGGACAATGACTCTTAATCAATTTATTTTTGGTTGGTACAGCATATCTCCTGTGCAAAATGTAGTCCATCAGAAACATCATATAAAAATACAAAAGAGCACTAATTTATCCTCAGAGACTCTGGAGACACCCCAGGGTTTATAGAAATTTGTTTTATGTGGTATGAATGGTTGATGTAGTCTTGTCATTGTTAATATCTTGTATATGAATGGTTTTAATTGTACAGTTGAATTAATTTATTTTCAGACATCATCCTTTTTTTCCTGGAAGAGTTCAAAGTACACCAACGAATTGTATTATAAATTTTGGTGAAAGGTTGTCATTTATGATTCATGATTTAATTTTTAAAAAGAGGAAAGAAAATGGAAAAATATTTTTAAGCATATTTGAATCAACAATATAATGTGAAAAACCAAGACTCTTGCATATCTTTTTTGCATTGTGTCAATGAGATTACATATAGTTACAGATATATTACTATTACATGGTGCTGTTGCTGGGAAAAACCTTTCAATGTTATCTTCAGATTGTTGCAGTAAATATGAGACATGCAAACCTTTCTTTATAAAGAAAAGGACCTAAAAGTTGATTATAAATAATACTGCATTTCGAAAGTTTATTTGATTTTCATATTAGTATTCAAAGTCCTTTCAAACAGAAAAGGTGAGGTATGAATTTGAGGGGTTGATTTATGTATTGTAAACTTATTAAGGCAAAATATATAATGAGTTGTTTTGTTTCTCAGTGGTAGAATGTTTTGTTTCTCAACTTTCTCAATGATAGTTTGCAGTATTCCTTATTATGCTATAAGTTTATTTATTATGAAACAAATATGTATTTTATGTATTTTGCCACGCATAGGTTAACTCTGCCACAGAGTTTCCAGTACAACTAAAATAAAATTTTTATCTCTAGTGGAAAGAAAGCAAGAATGATTATGAAGTAACAAATCTTATAAAGGTATTCTTCCTATGTATTGCTACATTAACAAAAAGATTCTTCTAGTTAAAAATGGTCTATACCTGGCCTCCTTCTAGTGTGTCTTTGTTATTGTGTATTAAGGCATTGAATGCCTACCCATCTCTCTCTGTCTGATGACAGAGTACATCATTCCTTCTTGTTTATTTCTTTTCCATTCCCTCTTAGTTGCCAAGTTTGTCAATTCATTACCTTGGATTAATTTCCTTCCCCAGACACTGCATCCAGATGGGAAATAAAAATATGCATCTTTCAGCCAAACAGCATCATTGTAGCCACCAGACATGGGGAGTGTAGGCCAGACACTCATTTTCCTAACTGTGAGCCAAGTTACAAGGCTGTGTGGTATGTGGAAGAAATGTCAGCCAGGCCAGTGGTCACCTGGCATCAGATAGTGTCTTGACTTGTCTGTCTGGTCTTTCTACAATGGATTAAGGAACCTTTAATAAGTCTCAGTGTGGGTAAACAATTGCATGTAATGACTGCAAATTTACAGAAAGTCTAATAAATACTCTGAAAAACATCTCCAGCAGAGACTTTATGAGTTAGGTAGCTATTGGACTGAGATGACTTGAGGGTAATGAATGGTCTGGGTCCACCATGAAACACTACCTTCTCTGGCCTATCTCTGTACCACCTGCCCCCTCTTTGCATGCATAGCAGAGATAGGGGGTGTCTCTAAGAATCTTGTCACTGTAGTTACTGCCAACTGAAGGGGACCCTTCATCTCCTGAATTTCATGGCAATTTGCTCCCTGAATATTGCCTCCTAGGTAATATTGGAAGATGCACAGGGAAAAAGAAAGCCTGTTTGGAGGGAATGAGGTTTGGGAGATATTACTCTTTTTTAGTGAGGAAAGGTAAGAGGATGAGGGGCCATGATAAACTTGGACAACACCAAGTAAGATGTCAGAGAAGGAAAGAGTGTGTGATAAGGCTGGGAGAGTTGGTGCCAGAAAGCAGTCAAGGTATCAGTGTAGTACCTTGCACAGTACTTTTATGCAAGGACACAGCGCTTCTGCAGGCTGGTTTGCTCCCAGCAGCCAGAAGGATGAGCACCTTCATTTTACAGATGAAGTTCAGGAGTTTATACTGCAGAGTCCCCTGCAATTTAATTCAGAGAAAAAGTTGTAGTGAATTTCATCATTTCTTAAGTCTAAAACAAATCAGGAGTCAGTTGAAGGATGGATGAAAAGGCAATGTAATTCAATGGGACAGTTGAGGTTAAACAAATTCTGATTTTCTGACCAAGTGTGCAGTCTTGGCCAAATTAGCTGACATCTTAGCATCTCAGTTTTCTCATTTATAAAATCAGGATAAAATGTGTCTTGTGAGTGTTACAGGGATTAGAAGCACAGCTACAAACACCATTTATAAGTAGCTACTTAATAAATTCTACCTCTTATTAATATTGGTGTTAAGTGGAATTCCTTCTTGCACTGGACCCCATACAGGAGCTAACTGGATGGGATGAATTAGGATGCCTGTGTATATGTGAACTCAAGAGATGGCAAAAGCTGGCACCTGTGGCTCATGCCTGTAATCCTAGCTACTCAGAGGCAGAGGGCAGGAAGATCACTGTTTGAAGCCAGCTGGGGCAAATAGTTCACAAAGACCCTATCTCAAAAAATGCCTAACACACAAAAAAAGGACTGGTGGAGTGGTTCAAGGTGTAGGCCCTGAATTCAAGCCCCTGTATCACCAAAAAAAAAAAAAAAGAGAGAGAGAGAGAAAGGGAGATGGCAAAGCCAGGCATGAATGAGCATAGTAGTAATAATTAATAATAATAATAATAATAATATGCAGTTGGAAAGCATTTTGCAGTAAATGAGATACTTTCAAGTATACTTATTGTAATGTTATAAGAGCGGATGTGGTAGACGGTTAGGAAAATGTTAACTGTGAAAAGGAAGGCTTGTGCACAGCCACTCTGTTGCAAACACAAAGCCTGGAAAGTTCTTAGACTTCCAATCCCTAGTTTTACAGATCCCATCTCTGCCTCCATGCTGCAAGAATTTATCCTTACCTTCCAAAGAGGAAAACAAGGCAAACTGCAATAGGAAAAAAAATTCATCAGCTTTAATTCTTTATTCTTAGGGCATGATGATCTTCAGCGAACCAAGGTTTCTAAAAACAGGAAAAATAATTCCACTCTCCTGATTATATGAGGACTTGGCTAAAAGTAGATACCCAGACGTGCCCCCAAAGTTCATTAACTTATTTCTGTTGTTCTAGGGTTGGTACCACAGTAACTCATCTGGTGAACCATCTTCTGAAATGTTTGGATTAAACATTCAATTTTGTTAAAATGTGTTTTCTTGTATAACACAATTATTTTTAGATCCTTACTGTAGTAAGGATCTACTCCAGTCACTCAGGTCATAGGGAGTTATGTAGCTGGATTTTAAAGACTGTTAAAATAAGCTCCTGCTGGAGCTGTGCTCAAGTGGTAGAGTGCTTGTTTAGCAAGAGTAGATCCTGAGTTCAAGACCCAGGACTGACAGAAAAATATAACCAGCTCCTGTGAGTGTGATGCTCATAAATTGTTCTTTTGAACAGTTGAGTCACCTAGCCACTGATTCTTAACCTTTGTGACACCAGTCTACAAGGCTTCTACCCTAGAGCTGATTCAGGGCTCACTGAATCATAGTTTTCGTGATGTGTCCGTAGTTTTCTTGTGTAGTAGGAATAGGAAACAGATGCCACCAGGCACTTTCTCACTCAGAGAAAGCAGACACTTGACTCTTTGTCAGATGTATGCCAGTTTTTTAATCCAAACAATAATATTTGAAAATGCTATAACAGCTTCTTTTGAAATGAATGCTTTTTTCACATTTCATCACCTAAGGGGAAAATAGTATTTTGCCAATAAGAAATATGCTCTTTATTATTAAAAAAATCAATATTAAAGTACTTTAAAACTGCAAAAGACTATGAAAAAGAAAAATATGACAGTTTTCTAACATTATAACTATTGTTTGCTTTTTCTTTCTTATTTTCAGACTGTGTATATCTATGTATGTGTGCAAGCTTCTATGGTTATAAATAGTATACTTTTTATTCTGCCCATAAAATCATTTTATATATACTTTCCCACATTTCTACAGTTATCATTTTTATTTTTATTTTTAACAGGTTGAAAATGCATTTACTGGTCTACCAGGCTACAAGGATTTTCGTGTTCTTGAATTTAGGTAAATAGATTTACTGTAAAACTTCATGTGTTCAGTAGTATTCTTTGTTCCAAATGGATGATCCTTTGTGTTTGTTGGATACACTCTAGCAACAAATGACTTTGAATGCTGCAATTCCCTGCTGTTTCTGGTAGGTTAGCATTCTTAATGCTAGTTTTTCAGGTGAAACTGAGTTAGAAAAAGGCAAAGTAATATATTCAAGGAGATGTATTTGATCTGTAGCTGGATCAGAGAAAGAACTTAGGAATTTGGGTCCCCAGCTTTATGCTAATAATTCATACAGCTCTTATTTTGCACTGATGGGACCGTGAACTCAAATTAGATGTGGCCTCAGGATCTTCCTGCAGTTTATCAATGATCTACGGAGGTGACTGATATCTTGGAGTAAGGCTACCCTGAAAGAGCCACATTAGTCCTTGTTGAATAGTAACAGTTCTGAGTAAATCAGAGAGACCTCTTTTAAACACATTTTTTCCTTTTTTAATATTTGTAGCATAATTCTTGTGAACATTTTTTGAGTGATTAAGTTATATTGAAGCTTCATATTCCTGAGTTCATTTAATCTTCAACCTCCAATCCATCAATCCACTCAGGACAGGCACACACATATATATGTGTATGTATAGGTGGCACTGGTGTCTGAACTCAGGGCTTCACACTTGCTAGGCAGGTGCTCTACCACTTGAGCCACACCTCCAGCCTAGAATGGATCTTTTTAATGTTTTTATTAGTGTATAATAGTTGTACAGGAGGTTCCATTGTGACATTTCTACATATGTTGACTATGTACCCCAGTTTGGTTTATCCCTTCCATTATTTTCCCTCTTCCCCCTCCCCCTTCTTAAAATGACTGACAAATTTCAGTGTTTCATAATTCATACATGTATAGAAAATACATTGACCATATTCACTCTATTTTACACTCTTCATTTACTGTCCCCCTCCCATTAGTACCCTCCTCTTAATATGACCTGTTTTATGTTCCTATCCTTCATTGTTTAAGAGCAAGGCAGATATTTTTAATATTCATTTTGTAGAGGAAGAAAAAAAATTTAAAGGAATGAAATAGCCCATGATCAAAGAATTTGTCAATTGATGGAGATGAGGGATTTTGAAGCAATAATTAGCTGACATTACAGCTCTTACTCTTAACCTCCATGCTAGCCTCAGTACTGTGAGTGCTTGCAGCATTTGGGTAGTAGCTGTGGCCCAGTTACTGGATTTAGGGGCACACAGGTTGTGGCACTGTGCAACCTGACAACATAATTAACAATGTCACCATCTCAACTTTGGCATGTTTTTGTCAAAACTTGTAGGTTTACTAGAAATAACAGTAAGCACTTGTGTCTCACAGTGTAGAGGCTTTTACATATATCTCTTATTTTTTTCCTGACAAAGAAACCAGAAAATTTAAATAATTTATCCAAGGGTGCTCAGGTAGTTAGTGGTACTGACCTAGTGAAGACAGCCCTGCATGGTAAATTGGCCTGCCTGTTCTCACACTGCAACCAGTCTTCCCAGCTCTATGCCAATTTCACAGAATTCATATTTCACAGAATGCCGCCTCCATGTATGGCCAGGCTCAGATGAGAACCTTTGAATGTGAGGTGTCTGCAGACCTCAGTCATCTGGCAGCATGTGAAAGACAACATGGCCTTTGAGCCAACTTGCCTGGCTTTGAATCCTACCTTTGCACTTTGGGTTGGATGATTTTGTTCTATTACTAAATCTTTTCATTTTTATAAAAAAGGATAATTCACCTATTAATCCTGCTTTATTAAAATGCTTTTCAAATACTTTGGGAAATTATTTAGTTTCTTTGTTCCTTAGTTTCTGTACATGTAATGGTGCTTAATGAATCTTCATGAGAATTAAGTGAATTAATGATTAGCACAATTTCTGGCACATGCGACCTTCTATTTTGGTGTCTGTTTCATAAAATAAGTAAGCATTAAAGGTTGTGTAAGTCAATTTGACCTTACTGACTCTTTTAATACCATACAGCATCTGACTTTGTTCACTTCTTTTGCATTTATTTGTTAATTAAGTTTAATATCATGTTATTGCAATGTCAGGTTTCTAGTCTAGTCTTCAACAAACAGATATTTTAATTTTTTCTTGAAATCAATTTGTAGGATCAGATCCAAACATTGCATTTATTTAATCATTCATATGGTTACTAATCACAATTTTTAGTTATTTGTTTTAGTCAGTTTTCAAATTTTTCATTCTTTTTTGAGGCTTCATTGTATTCCATGATATATATGTGCACAGTTAATCCCATAATTAGCCTATTGTTGAATATTCAAATTTTTTTCTTCATTTTTAACTATAAAAGTACTGTACTGGTATGTCTGTAGGATAAATTCCTAGAAGTAGAATTGCTAATTCAGAGGGTATATGCCCTTGTACTTTTTTATGGGAATGTATTTTATTGGTTTCTTTTTTGGATGGAATATAAATGTATAACACATACAAATCAAAAGGAAAACAAAAAGTTAGATAGTGAAAATAGAATCAGTTTCCTTTTGATAAGCAAGCATTGTTATAGCTTCTCATAGTCTATGAAACTACAAACATACATGTCTAGGAAATTCCTCTTGTTTGAGAATACTTATGTTCTTTTGAATTGAGCTTGTGAAAGTCAAAGGGTTTTGCCAAGATGTTGGTTGAGGGAGAGATACCCAGGCTATTATGTCACCATTTATGTTAGGGTCACACTTCTTTTTTTTTTTTTATTATTCATATGTGCATACAAGGCTTGGGTCATTTCTCCCCCTGCCCCCACCCCCTCCCTTACCACCCACTCCGCCCCCTCCCTCTCCCCCCTACCCCCTCAATACCCAGCAGAAACTATTTTGCCCTTATTTCTAAGTTTGTTGTAGAGAGAGTATAAGCCATAATAGGAAGGAACAAGGGTTTTTGCTGGTTGAGATAAGGATAGCTATACAGGGAGTTGACTCACATTGATTTCCTGTGCGTGTGTGTTACCTTCTAGGTTAATTTTTTTGATCTACCTTTTCTCTAGTTCCTGGTCCCCTTTTCCTATTGGCCTCAGTTGCTTTTAAGATATCTGCTTTAGTTTCTCTGCGTTAAGGGCAACAAATGCTAACTAATTTTTTAGGTGTCTTACCTATCCTTACCCCTCCCTTGTGTGCTAAAGCTTTTATCATGTACTCAAAGTCCAATCCCCTTGTTGTGTTTGCCCTTGATCTAATGTCCACATATGAGGGAGAACATACGATTTTTGGTCTTTTGGGCCAGGCTAACCTCACTCAGAATGATGTTCTCCAATTCTATCCATTTACCAATGAATGATAACATTTCGTTCTTCTTCATGGCTGCATAAAATTCCATTGTGTATAGATACCACATTTTCTTTTTTTTTTTTTTTTCATTTTTCTTTTATTATTCATATGTGCATACAAGGCTTGGTTTATTTCTCCCCCCTGCCCCCACCCCCTCCCTTACCACCCACTCCACCCCCTCCCGCTCCCCCCCTCAATACCCAGCAGAAACTATTTTGCCCTTATCTCTAATTTTGTTGTAGAGAGAGTATAAGCAATAATAGGAAGGAACAAGGGGTTTTGCTGGTTGAGATAAGGATAGCTATACAGGGCATTGACTCACATTGATTTCCTGTGCATGGGTGTTACCTTCTAGGTTAATTCTTTTTAATCTAACCTTTTCTCTAGTTCCTGGTCCCCTTTTCCTATTGGCCTCAGTTGCTTTAAGGTATCTGCTTTAGTTTCTCTGCATTAAGGGCAACAAATGCTAGCTAGTTTTTTAGGTGTCTTACCTATCCTCACCCCTCCCTTGGATACCACATTTTCTTAATCCATTCGTCAGTGGTGGGGCATCTTGGCTGTTTCCATAACTTGGCTATTGTGAAAAGAGGAGCACACTTCTATTTTGTTTCATCATTCAGTATCTGCCTTACATCATAATTACTGCAGATTCTATTGAAAAGGTTGCATTCTGTCGATTTCCACTTTGCCTGTTTATTCACTCTGGAAAGGAGGATGTCCAAGGATAAAGAATGTCCACTGTTCTTGTTCACAAGTTTCTTTTCTTTCATACTTTTTTTCCCCCATTTGGCAGTACTGGGGTTTGAACTCAGGGCCATGCACTTGCTAGGCAAGTACTCTACCAGATAGGATCTTATGCTCTTGTGCCATCATGCCAGCCTTGTTCCCAATTTGGACTGATTTCACAAAGTTTGCTTTTCCTTTCTTCCATAAATAAAACAATTTAAGTTAGAGCCATTATTAATAGGAAGGAACTATATTTCATAACTCTGTTCCTATAGGCTTGACTCTGTAGCTAAGTTATTGATGTTTTAAGAATAGAAGTGATGTGTGCTATTTTCTGCTTTAACTGCTTTGAATTTCTTTTCATCCTTTTACCACATGAGGAGTGTAAATGTAGCACATGTGGAGTGCTCCACATGGTGGAGCACAACAGAGTGTATTGCAGATGATTTCATTGTTTTTGTGCATGTTTGAAAATAATCTTATTTGATCCTCCTACTGGGTGAATAGTTTGATTAGGGATGGAATTGTGGTTGGGAAATAATGAGTTTTAAAGTTTTTGCTCTGTTTTCTTTGTTTTTCTTGAAAAAGTTGTTTTATGAGTTTCCCACCCCTCCTCTTTCTTGAGGATTCTCGGATCATCTCTTTTTTTCAGTAACGTTCAGAAATTACTCAATGACTTATTTTAGTGTGGATCTGCATATCTAGTTTTTTTTTGATTTATAAACATTTATTTATTTTCTTGTGCTGGGTCGGGGTACCCTGTGGCATTTACAAAAGCTCTTATAATGTATCAAATACATCATACTTGTACATCTAGTTTTTATTTATTTTAATACTATGTAACATATTGCATCCTAAAAAAGAAGGCTCCCAATTTTAATGCCAACAACTGAAGTCCTCTGCTTATCTACAGAAGAGTTTATTTATAAAGAAATAAACCACATATTAATTATTCAAAAGTATTTTTAAGTTAAGTTTAAAAGACTAAAAACCATTGGTTTAAAAACAATGCTTTCTTTATCCTTATTCATTTTTTTCAAGCTACAGGACTTTATAAACATTTTCATTTAAGAAGGTATTTCAAAGAAAATCAGAAGAAATACACGGAGAACTTGTACTTTGATTAGATAATATGGCAATTATAATTGAGCTCTAACTGACACTTTCCTTTTTTATTTTCAGGTCCCCTAAGGAAAATGGCAGGTAAAGTGCTTTTTGGTACTTTATGTATTGTCTACTGAGTAAGGAGGTAGTTTAGAAACTATGGCAGCACTAGGTCAGGGGAACATGACTGAGTTCCTCAACACCTCTGATATCACTGTGTCTTCCTACAGATCAGGAGTTGGCAGGCTTTTTTTTTTTTTGATAAGCATCTGTTAAGAATAAATATTTTAGTATTCGTAGGCCATATAGTCACTATCACTCTATCAGGTCAAAGTAGACATAGGTAATATTATAAACTAAAGAGCATTACTGTGTTTCAGTAAAACTTTATTTATTAGCCAGGCATGGTGGCAAATGCCTATTATTCTAGCACTTGGGAGGCTGAGGCAGGAGGATTGTGTTTGAGGTCAGCTTGGACTACATAGTAAGATTGTACAAAAAATCCTTAATTTATGTACACCAAAATCTGAATCTCACATGGCACAAATTTTTTTAGTCTTTTGATTCTTTTCAACCACTTAAAATATAAAATTCATTTATACATGGGCAGCAGGCTGAATTTAACTCATAGGCTGTAGTTTATAGACTCATATAGACTGTTGACTGACAAGTACTTTAAATATTGAGTTATGCTTAACTGAAGATAGGAATAATAACTTGCATTACTGAAGTACTTTCAAGTATAATGTGCCATTTAGTAATATAACCAAGTGCACTTTAAGTGGTAAACGAAGAGGAGAAAGCTGAAATCTGTAATAATTCATTTGTAAAAATAACTTTTCTCTGGATTTTTTTTAGAAGCAGCATAGTATAAATGCATAATCAATACTCCTTCAGAAAGTTGCTTGTTGCTTTTGCTTTTGGATTCCAAATTTACTTAAAATATGCTCTCTCTAGAGTGATACGTACAGTATTTGTGAGATGAATTCATAGGTTAAATATGGACATGTTTAGAGATAATGTAATACTACTTCATATTTGTGGGTTCCACATCCATGAATTCAACCAATTGCTGACAGGAAAAATTTGAAAAGCAAAAACAAAGACAAAAAACCCCTATGCCTGTACTGAACATGTGCACACTTCTCTTGTCACTGTTTTCTGTATAATTACAACATTTACATAGCATATACATTGAATTAGATATTAGAAGTAATCTAGAGATGGTTTTATATAAGGGTCTTGAGCATACAGAGAATTTGGTATTTGTGGGAGAGAGGAAGGTCATGGGAATCAATCTCCCACATATACCTAGGGATGACAGTAGTATCTATTTGAAAAGGGCTTTCTGAGTTCTTCACTTCATTTACATTATTTTAACAAGTATTGATGAAGTGCCTAGTGATTAGGCAAACCCTGTGCATATAAAAATGAGTCATTCTTGGTAGTCTGTATCTTCTAGAAACACACAATCTAATGAAAAGTACTTTCAGAGATATGTCAAATTGCTAGTTAATTTTTTATTCATTTTTAATCTCAGTATACCTGTGGGATGGTAAAAATGGAAATTACTATTCATTTTCTGTTTTGGAAGTGAGGAAATTTTGCTTCAGAGAGGCAAATTAACGTATCATAATTTATATGACAAGGAAATATCAGATATTTTGAGCCAGGTAACCAGAATTTGGGTTTCTATACTTTTAGTGTATAGTAAATGCTCTGTGTTTATGTATTGAGGTCTGTATTCAACTAAGATATGATTATTTCATTATTTTCCTCTTAAGGGGAGTAGAAGGTTAAAACAACCCTAAACCTTGATGTTAACCCTATGATTATGGTATCCATTTTCTAGGTGCTAAAAGACAACAATTCAATATGAAGCCTTTAGATTTTATGATAGAGGACTGGAGGTATGGCTCCAGCAATAGAGTTCCTGCTCTGCAAGCATGAAGCCCTGAGTTCAAACCCCGTCCCACCAAAAAAAAAAAAAAAGAAACAAAAAAGCTCTAGAGTAGAGTGCCTCAAGTGGTAGACTGCCTGTGTAGCAAGTATGAGGCCCTGAGTTCAAACTCTAGTACCACCAAAAAAAGAAAAAAGTAGATTTTGTGATAGAATTTTTAACCTAGATATAGTTTTCAGAAGTATTCAGGATCATCAGGTATAAGTCAGTGATTGAAGTTAGTAGGGCCCATTTGGAATGAATCAACAATGTATGGATGCACATGCCATAACTTCAGCTCCAGGCTTTGTAAGCATATACCTTCCTAGAAGAAGTATTCTAGAAGGGTTTCTCTGAAGTATTCTTCTTTTGATTGGTCTTGATTAGATGTGATACCACTATTGTTCCTTTTTAAAATCTGCACATTCAGGCAACCCATCAGAGTATCTGAGGTGAGAGAATAAGAAAGAGTGAATTTTATCTCCAAATGACTGAGGTCTCTGGAAGTAGCTATGGGACACAGAAACTCTCTTCTATGTCCATCTGTTTCAGTCTGGTTCAGAAAAGGAAACATAATGATACAGGGCTGATTGGTTAACTTGGAGTTACTGAATGTGGAAAGCCAGCACAGCTTTGTTCAATCAGAGAATGTTTTGTCTACCACTATGTATTCTACTTATTTCAGACTTCCCTGGACTCTTGGCTTTCTTTTTATCTGTCCTTCATCCTGAGACATCTTTGTGTCCTATGATTGTGACAGAACTCAGATTGTTTTGGGTCTCAGCAAAGTTCTTGACCCTAAGAACACATGACTTCTTGATACTTCAAACATTTCTTTGAATTCTCTTTCCAGAGAGAATAAATTATAGTATCCCTCTGAACCACTTCATCTTTTTAAAATGAATTTATCCTTACTAGACAAGGTAGCTTATAATAAATGTTATTTTTAGATGAAAACAGTGGGAGGCAGATAATATTTTGCCAGTAAAGGGTAAGGCCAGTAATCTAATCCAGGCTACTAGATTTGCATAGATTTCTTGATTCAGGAATATTTCTTTTGATCGTCTCTCCATAATATTTAAAGCCATGTGAGTACATGGTAGCCTTCTAGTAAATGTTCGTCTCTGCTTGTCTGATTTGCTGCATAAGAATGAACCAATTCAAGTGCTAATTGGTATAGACTTTTCTTCTTGTTCTTTTCTTCTTTTTTTTTTTTTAAATCACTTCTTCCTGTCTCAGAGTCACATTAACACAAAAGCAAGTTTTTAAGGTTGTGCAGAAATCCCAAGGAGAAGCCCAACTTCCTGGATATGGAGATATGGTCTGTTTCACTGAGCTTGGAAAAAGCATATGAATCCTCACTGTGTTGTTCTGTCGTCCTGAAACAATGTCTCTAAAATGATTACTAGTAATATGAAAATTTCTGAAGATAGTATACATGTCCTGTCAGATGAAAAATTGCTCTTTTTGTATGTAGAGACAAAATGCTTCAGACTAATTCAGAAATATTACATGCTGTCATTTAAGTGACACAAATTCAATTGGCTCATCTGTCTGCACTAGTGAACAGAATTGACCATTTTTTCATTATTTTCAAAAGTATTTATTGAACTACTAAGAGCCAGGCATTTTCCTAGGTGCTGAATGATAATTATGCCTACAGATGATAGGGGAGATAGACTGTGACTATAAGCCATATCGTCAGTGTTACAAAAAGGTTTCCCTAGGAAGGTACATCTGAACTGAGGCAAAAAAAGAAATAGCCAGGTGAAAAAGGTGTGTATATGCGTGTGTTCATGTGTATATGGAGCATATGCAGGATGAGATGCAATAACAAGCATAGCAGAGAGAAGGAAGTGGACTTGCAGAAATCCAGAGATGATAGGGCTATATGTGGCATTTGTGGTCTGCCAATGCATCAGAATGACCTGACGAAAGGCTCATAGAGAGCAGTGGGGAGTATGCCATGGTGAATTCTGACCAGTAGGTGTCCTTCTTACTGTTTTGTTCCACTTTGAAACCATCAGTTGATTATTTTAGAACATTTTACTTATTTTCTTTCTTTATAAAGAAAGATTAAAAATCACTGGTACATCAACATATTTTGGTATGCAGAATTAAAAGGCTTTAATTGCTTAAGAGATTGAGGGATGGTCTATGCAACAAGCAAATGTTTTTACCACCTAAAGCGTCAGAATGTCAGAGTACTGAGGTGTTACTTTTAAGAACCCTATGCCACCTCTGTTAACTTAATTTTTTTGTTTTTGTAGTGAAAGTGATAGTAAAGTTTATTAGGGAAGAAATACACTTTAAATAGACTGAAAGTAGGTCATCACTAGAGTGAGAAGAAGAACAACTGCCACCTCTTTAGAAGAGGCAGCTTATAGGATTTGGGAGGAAAACAGTATTGCAGTAACTCAGCATTTCTCCTCCATGATTAAACAAACACCTTTCTTCGCTAACAAGGACAGGAACATCAGAGTCTGACTGCGTATATAGCAGGTGGAAGTGTCAACTTCATGGCATCTCTTACTCTTCCAGTGTGTTACCTGCACATGAAGGTTAGGACAGGTCCAGAGAAGACAGTTCTCCCAGTAAGGAAAGGTCTTTTCTGACTAATTCATGCTTCCCAAACCACAAAAGACAATACCTTTTCTATGATACCTATTGATCTATTTAAAATGAAAAATGCATCGGTGAACTGTCCATGTGTTACATTTGCTGACTCATGCATACTCTCCCCATAGGAAAATATATAAGGAGTTCTAATCAAAAGTTTCCTTTGCAATCTTGAAAAAGAAAGAGGAAGTTGGGTGATCATAATGACCATCAAGCCATGATATTTGTTTGATTTGTCCCTGATTTAGGGGTATCTTACAAGGAAGCCCAATACAGTGGTCAGAAACTTTCCACTAAATAGTAACGAATTATTGACCGGCTTCTTTTCTCTTAAGTCCATATCATCCTCATCCTCTGGATACCTTTTTTTTAGATGTGTAAATAACTTGATTAGTGTAAGGTACTGCCAAATAAAGACCACGCCACGTGTGGAAAAGAAAGGTTTATTGGAACCAGACCGCAGGACTGTTACTCTTTCGGGTTCAGAGTGCAGTGGCTTGGCTGAAATGAGTAGTGGGTTTTATAGGAGGGGCCAAGCCGTGGGGATGGGAGAGAGTCTCTGATCTCTGATTATCTGTGATCACCAGATGGAACAGGTCTACATGCCTGGCTAGTTGAGTAACTGGAAGTTCCTGAGTTGTTTTGCAAGCCGAGAAACAATCAGGCAGGGAAACAAGCAGGGGAGAAACAAGTGGTCATAAATCAGGGAGTCTGGTTTTGGTGCTAGCCTCAGGACCTTCTGCCTGCCCCAGGAATGCTAGGGACCTAACAATTAGTTTGCAGTTTTCTTTTTACACTTGGACACATATAGACTTCTGATGGTCTTGCACACACTGGGTGCCTTAGTGTCGGATACCAAACTAAACACTGGGGATAAGATAAGGAGGCAAAATCTTCTTGCAAAAGAATGAAGACTGTAATCAGGGGTTTATAAATAAGTTCAGAGGAAGATGCTCTTAGTTTATTTTTACACTTGACTTGGAAGTCATTTTGCTGTATTCGTCAGAAGTAGCAAACTGTTTCTGTTACACATGTGCTTTGAGTCCTTTATCTCTGGAAGGTAGTGTTCTCTTTTCCTCTCTGGAGGGATCTTGGTGTGACTTGCAGTCTACTGCCTGTGTGCAAAGACAAAATGGAAGCCATCGTGGTGACTAGCACAGAGCTGTCATAATAATGATTTCTTCTAATACCGTTTAATTAAAACTAGTGAGAATGTAGCATAATAGTTCAGAGTGGAGCTGCTGAAGTCAGACAGATCTGTGTTTAAATCCTCTCTTACTATATTTTTGTTACGAAATTTAAACAAGTCATAACTTCTTGAAGGTTTCCTCAGCAATATTATAAAGATGATAAAATCTTTTTCTTCAAGTTATTGTGAAAAATAAACAAGTTAAAGCCATATAAGATGCCTGTCATATAATGAGCTCTTACTCAATGCTAGCTTTTAGTTGTTAGTAAAATCTGAGTTGTCTAAGAGGAGAATTCCTATTTGCTTTAAAATTTTATATTCTCATATTATTTCTGCAAATGACTATTTAAGAAAATGTCAACAGATCAACTCCTACTTTTTCTCTCTTTGTCTCCTCTGCCCCAATCCTGCTTCCTCCCTTCTCTCTTTTATTTCAAGATGTCATCTCTTTGCTTTTGGAAAATGAATAGTAAAATCTTAGGCAAAGTTATTTGTTTGTACTTGTTAAGATCTTAGTTAATTCATTAACGAGGGAGTCAGGAAACAAAACCACAAAAATTTATATAGTTAATGGGAAAGAATTTTAAAGTTAAATACAAAATTGGTTTATGTTCTAGAGAGTTGTAAAGTTGTAAGCTTTAGAGTTATCTTTCCCATCAACCTAAGAGAAAAATCACATTATAACAGTTTCTTACAATTTAATTTAAACTTTATTGAACTGTAAATAGTCTGGGCTATCATACAATAGTATGTCACCTGAGAGACTCAGATAACTATTGTATTAAAAAACACTCTACCATAATGTATTTATGTTAGAAAATTACAAAATATCTGTTTGCTTTATTTCCAAGTTTTAATTAAAACTCTTACATTTTTTATTCCACAATAAATAACTATGGTGACTATTTTTCCAAAAACAATAATGGATAAATATGAGCTGATTTCCTATTGTTGGGAAGAGTTAGAAAGGTTTTTTTTTTTTTTTTTAAATCAGGGAAGAGAAATGCTAATAGGGAAAGAAAGAAGGCTGTTCATGGCTTTCAAAGAGTTAAAGCCTGAGAATGTGGGAGCAATGTGGGGGACTGGGATAATTCTATAGAGCTGACTCCGTGGCTTCCTTAGAATTCCTGCTGTGTACTTAGAGCTGTGACCCTCCATTCTCTGGGAGGGATAAGAGGATGACAAATGTTTGCCCAGAGTCTGCAGAGAACATTGATGGAATCCAGGCCTTTTGAGACTCCTTCTCTATGTCTAATGTTTGATCTCTACAGATTCCAAGCTCCTTTTTGTTTTTGTGCGTCCTTAGTTGGACCTAATGTGTTCTTTTTTCATCCATAGTGGTATAGATGTTCACTATACAGTTACCTTCAAAGGTGAGGCCATCAGCAATACTACCTGGGACCTAATTAGCCTTCACTCCAACAAGGTGGAAAACCATGGCCTTGTGCAATTGGATGATAAACCCACTGCTGCTTATACAATTAGTAACTTCAGAGATTATATTGCTGAAACACTGTACCGGAATTTTTTGCTGGGGAATTCCTCCTTGAATCCAGATCCCAAGTCTCTTCAGCTTATTAATGGTAAGTTTGATATCCATCATGAGGTCCTGTGTCCAGTATGCTCTAGTGAAAAGGAATTTCCCTAATCTTTTTGGATCTAAGCATTCTTGGATTGCAGGAGACAGGAGCCAGTCTGATTTGTGTGGAGCTTCAGCTACACAGCTGTTTTGGAGAGACTAATCACGGGCCAGTCAAGGAGGTGGAGACTTTTGGATTTGGAGCTTAAGAGGGTGTTCCAGTCAACTTGGGACTAAATCTTGTTTAACATCAGGATAATAGTATACAACATCTTAACTTATTATAGACATAGTTCCCTAATTTGCTTGCTACTTTTTATTCAATTCTCCATGATTTCATCACTAATTGGTATCTTAGCTTTAAAAACTTCCAGTACAATATGTTTTACTGAAGTGAGAGTAAGGAAGAAATACCACTACCAAAGAGGAAAATCCACTTGGAGAGGCAATGATGTATTCTTCCAGTCTGTCCATCTCCCATGCATTTTTTAAAGAGAAAACAGGCTCTATCCTTTGTAATAGAAAAACTTGTGCAAATCAGATTTAACAGTTTAATTGAGCAAAGAATGATTCATGAGTCATGCAACCTCTAGAACTATGACAGGTTCTGTAAGATTCCAGGGCTGCCACATGGCTGGATAATATTTATGGAGAGAAAATGGAAAATGATGTGCAGAAAATGGGAGTGAAGTACAGATGAGTTGGTTAAAATCTGGCATTTGCCTTCTTTGTACCTGGTTTGATGGAAACTCAGCGATTGACTGACACTCATCTGTATGTTATAAAGCAAATTCCTAAGTTAGGTTTTCATTTCATTTACATACTGAGTTAGGCTGAAGCTCCGTATGGTAAGGACTCAGGCATGTGAATGTAGAAGCTTGATTAGGCCAAGCTTGGTTTGACTTAACACCTTTCAAGTCTGTGTATGTGTAGATAAACAAACAAATAAATAAAAATATTCAATAGAAAAGCCAGAAAGGCTTGTTGGATTCACACAGGAAGGGTAAAAAGTTATTAGTAGATGAGAATAGAATAGCTTTGGAAGGTAAGATAGAGAAGTACTTAGGGAGCCAAGATTTTTTGGGTTAGGATTTGGAGAAACAATTTTTAGAAAGAAAGGAAAGTCCTTTCCAGGCAGCGGTGTGTGTGTGTGTGTGTGTGTGTGTGTGTGTGTGTGTATGTACACTTATGTGCATGAATGATTACAGATGTGTACGTGTGTGTGAGAGAGAGGGATAAAGAGGGAGGGATGGAGAGAGAGATATATTATTTTACTATATATCATATAACTTCTTATTCTGCAAATAAGTTTTTAAAAATTATTTGGCTGGACTAAAACTTCAAATTGCTTGTCGACTTATTTGGCTACTGGACCGATGGATGTTTGTTTAATGTGACACTATGCTGAGATAGAACCACAAAATGGTCAGAACTTTATGAGTTACATAGGACCCATTTAAGACAGAGAAACTTCTTCTTCAGTGCATGGTAGTGACATAAGGCTACCAGTTCTAAACATTACAGCACCTCTGTATTTTGGAGCAAGGTAGGTGCCCTGGGCTCCCTGTCCTCATATGCTCCTTTTTTCTTCTTCTTCTTTTTTTTTTTTTTGAATCTTGTTGGAATACTTGGGCCAGATAAAATAGAGAACAGGCTTGTAATTTGAAACTTGGGGCTAACCCCCAGAACAGGTTATGGGCAGAAGACTCCAAGAATTTGGATAGTGGGATCAAGCAGATAAAAGGTATAGTTGGGAAGTCAGTATTTAAGGGAGGTTGAAACCTAGATTGAGCAGAAGGTGCAAATGCACCAGGGTGGTGGGAGAATGGCATGAGGATTAATGTATGCAATAAGCAAAGTGGAGTTGTTTAGGAAAACTAAATCCACAAGCACCATTTTAAGATTTGCCTTTTATGTGGAGCCTGGTGTTCTTAAAAAGAGGTCAAAAACTCTTTTAGAATTTGCAAGCAATTTCAACAAAAGCTTTAGGAAATCCAGTACCAACAAATTTAGGTGGCTTGGCCATTCATTAGATGTATGTTTTTTTTTTCATTTTTCTTTTATTATTCATATGTGCATACAAGGCTTGGTTCATTTCTCCCCCCTGCCCCCACCCCCTCCCTTACCACCCACTTCGCCCCCTCCCTCTTCCCCCCACTCAATACCCAGCAGAAACTATTTTGCCCTTATTTGTATGTTTTAATTATTCAGAATTTTGTTCCTAAAATACATTTTGAGTGTTATGCCAACTTTAGAGTTCTGAATGGGGTTACAGCTTTCTAGGTAACTTGATCATCATCTCAAAAGATATGGTCATCTTTGATCTTATGGCACTTAATTTTCACAGAAGACAATATAACTGTATAGACTGTTAAAAAGAATTTTGGATAATACTTGAACCAAATAGAATTTTTGGTTTTTGTTGCATCTCTGTATGTCAGGTCAGTGGAAACAGGTGAAAAAAAGAGACTTGCTTCTATTTTAGAAGTAAATACCAGACTTCCCTCCTACAAATCCCTTCCATGTAGCTTTTATTGATTCCTATTCCCTTTCAGGCAAAATCAGTTGCTTCTTTGTGTTCCCATATACAACAATATGCCTCTCACATTGTTTTATAATTTCCAATGTATTTTTGTCTTTCTGACATAGGCAATGTTTCCAAACAACAAAAAAAGTTTTTTGTTAATGCTTGCAGTCTCAAGTTTGTTCATTTTTTGTTTGTTTGTTTGTTTGTTTGTTTTACCACAGGCACAGTCTGGTAACTGAAAGAATTTAGTAAATGTTTGTTAAATTATATTATGCAGTCTACTCACTTTTCTTTATTGCTGTTTAATATTGTTACAGCAATAACATGGTTTGATGGCCTAGCCCATTTTTCAGAGGCCCTTTTTGCAAAAAGGGAAATAATTTTGTATATTTTTCTACCATTCTTTCATTGACCAAATGAGGCAAAATTTCAGGTCAACTTTCTTACCTAAAATGAAAAAAAAAAAAAACAAAGTGAAAATAACTGCTGCATAGGAATTTGAAATGAGTGAAAGTGACTTGAGAAAGAAAAGGAAATAGTTATAGACTGCCCTAAGTGTAATAAAGGAAACAATCTTGTTTTATGATGGATTCTTATTATTCAAGCCCATCGTGCTAATTTAAGTAAAATACCTAAACATCATAAATGTTTCCTAGGCAGGTCTATCTCATCAGTTCTGCCAAAATCTAACTTAATACAGAGGAAGAAATTGGTTTTTAGTTGTCCTTGTACCTCAAATACTATAGTGATTCAACTAAAAAAATGTTCTTTAATATTGTTCTTTCCTCAGTGAAAGGGGTTTTGCTTCCCCAAACTGAAGAACAAGTTTTGAACACCCAAAGTTCAATTCTTCAGGCAACGCCACCATCTATTCTGGTATGTTTCATGTTTTATGTCTAGAACCAGGCTGTTCAGCTTCTGTTCTTTGAACCTTTACCTCCTTCCTTTGCATTTATGATTTCCCAAGCCATACCTGTTTCACATATTTTCTTGCATCACTCTGGAACATTACTCATCATTCTTAGCTCGTGAATACTAGGTGTTGGTTCAGAAAATGTAAGCCTTCTGCAGTGTTTAAATGAAATCTGCATTTGCCAAACTTCACACAAGGTAGAAAGATTATTATTTATGGTTCGTGCTTGTTTGATGATAATTAATCCCTAGCGCTCACTGAGTTGTTTTCTAAGTTAGCTAGAAATAGTTTTTTATAGATAGGAATATAAATTAATGTACATAGGTACAGAGTATATATTTTTATTTCAGGGATTATAGTGAAGAAAGTTTAGACACCAAAGCATATAGAATAGTGTGTATATGGAAGGGAGAGAAGGAAGAGTAAAAATATCAACTACCTGACAAATGACGGGAACCTTCTTTTAAACTGGAATGAAAACATTTCCATTTGCACATAAGCAGCATGGAATGAATTTTCCTTTTTGTTCTTACACCCAACTTTATCAAAAAATTCTCCTTTCCCTCTATATCTTTAATTTCTACTTTACTTATATTGGGGCATCCAGTAGAAAAGAAAATGGCCTCTTCAAATGAAGTTAAAACACTGATAAGGCATACTATCACAACATTAGAGACCTACCTATCTGCAATGAGTATAGGAATCTTTATTTTTTTCAATTTTTAAATAAATGTTTTATTAGGATATATTCATTATATGGGGGGATTCATAGTGACAATTCTGATTAGACTTATATTGTACATTAGTTATATTGCTCCCCCATCGTCTCTCCCCTTTGGCTCCCTCCCCACCCCTCTTAAAGCAATTGCAAGAGGTTTCTTAGTTCTGTTTCATATAGGTATATGAAATCTATCTACCATATTTCATCACCTTAATCTCCTTCCTTCACTCTCCCCTCTTCTACTAGTACCCTTCCCCCAACACTATACCTATTTTATAGTTGTAGTTTTTGATACTAATTTAAGTAGATGTTCAAAAGGGTGTCTCAATGTATGCCCACTGTGGGTGTGCTTTACTTTGGTTCGTTCAACCCCTTCCATTACTCTCCCTTACCTCTTTACCTCCCACCCCCCATTTTTCATTATCTTTCAGTACATATCCTTATATCCTCTACCTTCATATCTTATGTTTATGATATTACTCTTGCTCTATCATTCTATTTTCCTTTCCCTCTTTTCCTGAGTTCCAAAGAGTAGTTCCACTGTTACAGATGTGTTCTACATCTGAGTTTGTGTATGATCATGCTTATTTTTGTGTACATTTTTATCTTTGGATCTATCTTCCATGTCTGAAAGAAAACATGTGGCTTTTGTGTTTCTGATCCTGGCTTACTTCACTTAACATGGTGTCCTCAAATTGCATCTATTTACCTTCAAACCACATGTCATTATTCCTATGGCTGAGTAATATTCCATTGTGTGTAGACCACAATTTCTTGATCCATTCATCAGTTGTAGGGCACCTACATTGTTTTCAAAGCTTGGCTGTTGTGAATAGTGCTGTAATGAACATAGTGTGCAGGTGTCTCTACTATATTCGGTCTTACCTTCCTTTGGTAGATGCCCAGGAGTGGTATCACTTGATCATATGGCAGCTCTATCTCTAGTTTTTTGAGGAATCTCAATACTGCTTTCCGTAGTGGTGGGAATTTCCATTGCCACCAGAAGTGTTTAAGTGTTCCTGTTTCGCACATCCTCACAGGTATTCATTGTTATTACCGTTGATTATGGCCATTCTAACTGGGATGAGATGAAATCTAAGTATTATTTTGATTTGCATTTCTTTTATAATCAGGGAGATTGAATACTTCTTTATATATTTATTGACCATTTGTACCTCTTTCTTTGAGAATTCCCTATTTTATTCATGTGCCCATTTCTTCATTGGAATATTGATTCTTTGGGGGCTGAGTTTTTTGAGTTCCCGAGTACAGGAGTCTCTTTATCACATAGACAAAGGAGGGGGACTCCCTTTTCATCTATAGTCCCCATTCCTTCTCTCTTAAGACTTCTTTCCTTTCATTTCCTGTTTGAAATACCTGTTTCTTGGCATTCATCCTGTAATGGAAATTTAGAAACCCTGTCCCATATTCATTTAAAGGTTAATCTATGTGGGCATTTCTTCTACTGAGTATTAGAGCAACTTGTTTTTGAAATGTGGAATGAAGAAATAGTTTTTCACTTAGTTACATATTGGAGTGTAAAAGTTTGGGGTATTGACATCAGAGAGCACATTAATATGGTGTTTATTTGTTCATTCACTTACCACTCATTCAAATAATTTGTGCTTTTCATATGCCAAGTGCTAGGGAAACTAAGAGGAATAAGGTGTGGCCCTGCCTATGAGAAGTTTCCAGTCTAGACAGACTTCTAAACAAATAAGGTGACATTGATGTTACCCTGGAAGTCAATCCAGTGTACAATGGCAGGGAGAAATAATGGTACCCCACCTCTTTGCTCCTTTTAGCTACATTCAGTCTGGAACCTGAGATCTGAAATGGCATTTTAGAAACATAGTGTAAAGACACGAATGTCTTTATCAGCCAGTGCTTGCCAACTAGAGACCAGTTGGCTGGATCCAACTACAGACATACACTTTGGAAACAAATTTAAAAAATAAGCCAATGTGTAAAGGTTATATTTTTACATAAAAATGAATATTTCTAGCTTATTTTGAGAACCAGGAAGATCTGATATCATGAAGTTCATATTCCCTTGCATCAGAAAGTGGCTAAGCTTGGCTGGCAGCTGAATGAGGACAAGTGCTGACTAGCCAGGCTTCTTTCATTTGTGCTGCACTGATTCTATTTGTATTCACTCCATATCTTTACTTTTATGACTAGTGACAACTGTAGTGTATTAATTGACAATTTGAGGAGACTGGAGTTTATAGGAGTTCTAAAAAATTATTGATTCATAATAATTATGCATATTTATGAGGTATAGTGTTTTTTTTTCATGTACACAGTGGGATCAAATGAAGGTAATTAGTATATCATCACCACAAACATTTATCATTTCTTTGTGTTGAGACTTGCCAAAGTCTTCTCTTTTGGCTCTTTTGAAGCATATCAGAAATTATTGCTAACCGTAATCACCCTATTATGTTATAAAACACTAGATCTTTTTTTTATATAACTGTAATTTTGTGCCTGCTAACCAACCTTTTTCTATCCCCTATATCCCCTTACCCTTCCCAGCCTCTGATAACCACTATTCTGTTCTCTGCATCTATGGAATCAACTTATTTAGCTCCCACATATAAATGAGAACATGTGGAATTTTTGAGTGATAATAAGGCATAAAAATTACTGATTAGAAATATCTGGTCCCTTCCTTCTTCCCTTTCCTTCCTCCCTCTCTCCCTCTACTATATTAATAAGGCTTTACTTTATTATAGAAGTAAATTTTGTGACCAAATTTGATTTTTAAGAATTATTTTAGAAGTAGGAATGTTGGCATATTTGAATCTGACACCTTTGTGGCAACCCAATTTCAAAATTCACTTCGATAATATGCTTTTAATAACACTAGAAGGCTTTTCCAGTGGTATTAGCAGATGTGAAACTGGCCAATAAATTTTAAAGTTGTCAATATACTATACTGAACTAAAAAAAGAACCCATGAGTTGAATTTGTTACTATGGGAACATCTATTAGTCTAAAAATAAATGAAGTGCTATTCCTGGCATGACGTGTTCATCTTTCAAATTGTATAAAAAAGATTCATCACCATGTAAATTTTCTAGGGAGTATTTATTTGGAATAGATGCTCTCCCTTCCTTTGAAATGTCAAATTGTTTACTTTCATACTTTATGTTGCCTATTTGTAACTTGAATTTTATTAAAGATATTGTTTATTTTTCTTTTTATTTTTATGAAATGAAATGACATTAGTTTATAGATATACTGAAGTAATGAATAATATTTGAGGACTGCTTTTCTATTGAGAATTTAGGTGCTTTACTAATACATGTCAGGTCATAGGCTCTATCTTTTTTTAATGATTTCCACATCATTTTTAATCACATGACTATGCAATAATGATGCAATTTTATTAAGTGATTATATACCCAACAACATCAGAAAAACTGTACTCTATTTTTTGAAATAGTAGGATTCATTCTCATCTTAGTAGCTCTGTTCATCTTTTATTTATTTATTTATTCATTTATTCATATGTGCATACATTGTTTGGGCCATCTCTCCCCCCACCCCCACCCCCTCTCTGTCCTCCCCCACTCCCCTAGGCTCTATCTTTTAAAACACAATTTACTAAGCATGGATTTAAGTCATCTTACTTGGGAATTTTTTAAAAGCGTATTTGGAATTTATAAGAATGTAAATATGCTTGATTCAATTGGAAGCATAGTTGCTTTAACAGATCTCTCAAAGGAATTTTAGAAAATTAAGAAGAAAAATGGGGAAAAAAAAGAAAAGTAAGAGGAAAAAGAATTCAAAGATGTGATATCATCCTCATAACTACTTTTTGAAGAACAGTTTCTGGTATTCAGCAAATGACTTGCTTACTTTCCCCTGAATATACATATAATTTTAGATACTGGAAAATGAAAGAGGAAAGAAAATTTCCTTTCTGTACAAGCAGACTGCCTATTTTCTATAGCAGACATTTAAATACTATGAGCCTAATAAAGAAAAGTTCTTTATTTTTAACAGGTGTGATTGGACTACATGGTTTTTCTTTCCCTACTTCTACAATTTGATACTTTCCTCATGCTCACAAACACTTTCATGCTCAGGTCTCCCTTCCCAACACAGATTTTTTGTAAACCAAAGGATGGTCTCGTAAAGCCCCAGAACCTTGGGCAAGATATTGTTATTTTCATTTAATATTTTCCCCTTCTACATTCAGTACTTCAATTTTTTATCTTCTCACTTATCTGGATTTGAACGCTTACTTTCTCCATCTGGTCAATTCTTAAGGACCCAAAACAACCTAGACCTTCTAGGCAGAAATACAAGGCACTTTGTGTGCCTGCATGATGAAGGATACAAGTCATGTATGCACAGGACACAGATCATGTATGCACAGAAGTCAGTGATCACCTGCCTGTGTACAGTTGCATAAGGTTAACTCTGCTCCTGGTGACTGCACACTCTTAACATACTAAACTTAAATGCCAGAAGTTGTCTCCCTGGTTAGATCATCTTTATTGGCTTGACTCATGAACCAAGTTTTACTGTCCTCAGGTTCACATCTAATGGGGAATTCCCCAGGAGGAAATTTCTTCTCCTGAAGTCTTTCTCTTTCTCCTAGCTCATTTGCAGTTGCACTGAGTCATTTGAGGATGGTCTTAACCCTCCTCTTTGATTATATACTTTACTTTTTTCTCCCATGTAATGCAGTTTACTTCAATGCCCTCAGGTTATTAGACCAATCTAATGCTCAGCATAGATTAAAATACATAAAACCCCACCAGATGCCATGGCCATTTTACCTATTAGCTTAACCATTAAACTTTTTATAAAGATTATTCTTCATAAGATTAAGTAACTAGCATGTTCAAAGGTTGTGTTTCTGTCTACTTTTCTATCCCAGAAACTAAATGTCAAGATTAGTGTTATATTAGTAAAAATCACTAAAAAGAGAAAATCGTATTTTGAGGTGTGATGCTATTTCATGGGCATGGCTATTTATTTCAGATTATCAGACCACAGTTTGATGTTGTGACATTTCTGATAAAGATGGAGGACCTTAATTAATTAACTGTCTTTCAGAATGCTGAATAAAATTGCTAATTGTTTCTCCCTGCTGTGGGCAATAATCTTAGGCCTTTGCCAACAAATTATAGATATTAGTAACTCCTATGTATTTAATGTCATTTCAGCTAAAGTGATGGAGGGAAAAGAACCATCTAAAGAAAAAAACTAAACCAATATTTTCTCCTGCAGATTCACTTTGTTTAGGGTCTTTAAAATGTTATCTCATCTGTCCCCCTTTTGCAGGTGAGTTTTAGAGTCTACATATTTCTAGATTTTCCAACTAGTAAGGAACTGAACTGAGATTTGACTACAGATCTATTTGATTCCAGAGTGCTTATCCTTTCCCCCTCCAGTATTACATAGCTTCACTATCCCTAGAAAATTCAGAAATATGGTTAGATGGGTGGTATTTAAAAGTCATTTTATGTGTTTCTTTTATCTGTGATATGATTTAGCCCTTTTCTCCCCCCCAGGATAATACCCTTCCAACTGAATGGCTCTCAGCAGATGAATCCACTAGCAGCAGCATTTCACCACTTGGTTTCAGCTCTGGTCTTCCCTCGATCAGGGGCAGGGAACTCTGGTCAGAAAGTTCTTTGGGTGATTTAGTGTCTTCACCTAAAATAGCCTTTCCCTCGAAGGTGGTCCTCAGTTCTTCCCCGGAGTTGTTAGAGGTTAGCAGCTTGCCTCTTCATTCTGTTACCCCAGCAGTGCTTCAGACTAGCTTGCCTGTGACTTCTGAGGAGAGGACTTCTGGATCCCACTCATTAGAAGATGGTGAGGAGCTTTCATCAATTCTCATACTTCTTTATTGTATCAGGTGACAGGGTTTTGAAGAGAGGAAGAGACTATGGTGAAGAGAAAAGCATAGTATTCATTAGTGAGAAATTGTCTTGGGAAACTTGTATAAAAGAGGAAACAAACAGATTTAATTGGTTAGAATGGAGCGTCCATATTGGTATAATAATAAGAACTGAACTTGGGGAGGTGGGACAGAGAAGAGATTTTTCTTGGCAGGACTGGGATTTGAATTCAGGCCTTGTGTTGGTAGGCAGGTATTGTACTACTTTAGCCATATTGCCAGCCCTAGAGTATAGATTTTTTTGAAGATCATATTAAAGCATATGCAACTTAATCAAATTATTGCAAGTAAAGAATTACTTTACTTGCTTAAAGATTAGAATGGTAAACGAACATCATCAAAGGTTATTCCAGCAGTTTCCAACAGTATTAACTATGGGGAATAAGTCTAATTAGATTTTAGGTTATAGAAGTACTGAGAAGAGGTGAACCTGAACTAGAGTGGTCACAAATGAGATATAGAAGTGAAAATGAAATGGGTGATCTTCTGTAGTGGAAGAAAGGAAAAAATCAGTATGATATTGGGGTGGAGTATACATATGAAAGATAAGCAAAGATATAAATAATGAATCTGGGATTTTGAACATAGGGTAAATTTGAAGGATAATAGAATAAGGGTAATAGAGAAAATGGGTTTCATAGAGAAATATAATGCTTTCTAAATTCCTAGTAGATTCAGTCTTTGTTTCAGTATGACTACCAACACTGATTTTCATGGGAAAAATATAAAGTGTTTGAAGATTAATTACTTCAATAGTTAAAGCCTTATGCTTAGAGAAAGGTGTTATATTTCATTTCATAAGAGATTATCCCACATTCCAAACATGAGATCATATCTTCTTACGAGCTAGGTATAAAAGTTAGCAACTGTCTCTGATAAATGAAAAATTAGATAGCTAGTTTTATTAGGAAAACTAGGAGAGTATGTATTTCCAACTTTGTAGATTAATTAATGGAAAACTTTATTTTTTATGATTAGCCAATATCGAGGAGTCACAAGATGTTCTTTTTATTGATTCATTGCCTTCAAGTTCATTCATTCAGCCTGTGCCAAAAGAAATAATATCATCCACGGAAGATGCTGGTGTGTCCCTGACATCTTCTCCATACTTAACCTCTTCTGTTACATTAGAAGGTATTGCTAAAGAAATAACTGTACCTTTTGGCTTGGACTCCTTGGCCTCCAAAGTCACAGACCAAGTGGAAGCAAGCCCTTTGTTTCCAGACACATCTGTGGAAAAAGAGTTCATATTTGAGAATGGTTTAGGTTCTGGGTCTGGGCAAAAAGTGGATTTGACTATTTGGCCATGGAGTGAGACTTCATTGGAGAAGATCACTGAACCACTGTCCAAGTCATGGCTTGAAGATAAGGATTCACTTTCACCAACTGAGGGTATAGATGACAAAATGTTGTCTATAGACCAAATTGTTGAGCATTCAAAACATTGGCATGATAGATCCACAGACTTTGCAGAGGAAGAGTCTCTTGTTGGACCCACTGTACCCATCTTTTCAGAGTCTTCAACTCAGTCTGCATCTCTAACTTTTTCCAAGCACATATCAGAGGTATCTGACATTGATTATTACTCAGTTACAGAAGCAACTCTTCTCTTGGCATCTATAGCAAGCTCTGATTCTACTGAGAAAACAGAGCAAGTGAATGCCTTCCCAAGGAAGGATATGGAACAAATAGTAGAGTCATCTGGCCATGAATGGTTTGATAGCAAGGTTTCAGTGGTGACAACAGATATGCAGCCTGCGTGGACCATATTGCCAGAATCAGATATAGTTTGGGCAAGAACTTCTTCCATGGGGAAATTGTCCAGAGATACATTGGCAAGTACACCACACAGTACTGACAAACTCTGGTTGAAAGCTTCCATGACACAGTCCACCAAATTGCCTCCAACCACAAGCTCCACCCTGCTAGAGGATGAAGTAATTATGGGTGTACAGGATATTTCATTAGAACTGGACCGGGTAGACACAGATTATTATCAGCCTGAGCTAATCCAAGAGCAAAATGGCAAGATTGGTAGCTATGTGGAAATGTCTATCAATGATCACTCCACAAAGATGCCTATTGTGGCTCAGCCCACAAAAGGAGATGACTCAAGATACACCCAGCCCACAGGAGCTTTGGTAGTTTTCTTCAGCCTTCGAGTGACTAACATGATGTTTTCAGAAGATCTATTTAATAAAAACTCTTTGGAATATAAAGCCCTGGAGCAAAGATTCTTAGAATTGGTAAGCACATAAAGTAAAACGGGGGCATTGGTCAGTTATCACATATGACTCTTCCACACCCTGAGCATGCCATGCCTGAGCCCAGGAAAGTGTGATCTGCTGTGGGCATTCATTTCCTGTCATCCACAGGTAGCATCATGGCATAGTGTTGGTTGAACAATAAGACAGGTGGATTTAAGAAATGAAAACACAAATGTGGCAAGAGGGTGATGTGGCAGATGAGATACTAAAGATTATATTCCAGGAATTCTGGGACTGAAATAAAACCTGAAAAGAAACCTCAAACTTACTATGACACCAGTGTTTTGTTGGTACTCATGCCTTCACTGTTGTGATCCTTTAGTAAAACAGAGAAAATAAATTCTCTTGGTGTCTAAAATGGTTTATGAGTTCCATGGAGTTCCTAAATATCACTATGAAAATCTCATGATATTCCTAAGTTATACTCTCAAATCATTCTTAATTTATAGTTGTGTTATTAACAATTTAAATGTAGGTGAAATATAACTAGGAAAAGTTGGGGGACTCATCCATTTTTTTTGTCATTTTGGTATGTATTCAACATAGTGCAAAGCCTTGTCAATAAATTTCTCACTTTTCATGTATTGCAGCTGGTTCCCTATCTACAATCAAACCTCACAGGGTTTCAGAATTTAGAAATTCTGAACTTCAGAAATGGCAGCATTGTGGTGAACAGTCGAATGAAGTTTGCCAAGTCTGTCCCTCCTAATGTTAACAATGCTGTGTACATGATTCTGGAAGACTTTTGCACCACTGCCTACCAAACCTTGAACTTGGATATTGATAAATACTCCCTTGACGTGGAATCAGGTAATGATAGTACCTACCATGGTGGCTTTGCAACCAGTGATTCTTCTTGTATGTTTTCTTTTTCATTGAGTCAAGGTGAACCCAATACTTGTAGTAAGAAAAGAGTACTGTGTCAGACAATTTTTTCACATCTTGATAATTAGCCAAATTTTTTTCCAAGGACATCAAAGGATTGTCCACACCTGGTAGCTTTATTGGTTCACTTCCCATTCACTTTTCTATATATTCTTCCCAGCTTGCTTTCTTACTTATCCTCTGGATCTGTTCTTGATGTCTTTATGCTGCCAAGCCCTCCCCGCAAATTTGCCCCCCTTCTCTCTCTTTCTCCCTGTACAAATATATGTATATATATTTAGTGTACACATGTGCATATGTATTTATGTGTAAATATGCATATATATTTAAGTTTTTATATTTATTTTCATTGATTTAAGTTTTATGTAAATGTCAGGTACTCTCCATATTTTTATATGATGATCAAACTTCTGAGCTCCAAGATGATTATCTAAGTACTTACTTGACAATCTCTACTTGAATGTATTTGATGTATTCTATATATATCAAAAAAGATATTTAAATGTGAGCTCTTATTTTCTATATTTCTCAACTCCAATGAAATCTATTCTCAGCTTCTCCGTGTTAATAAATGGAGATTTATGTATTCAGTTACTTAAGCCAGAAACTTGGGAAAACCTGAGAAGTTATTCCTGCTACCATTCTTTCCATTATAAAACTTAAATGGATTTTGAGTTCTAAATATATCTCAAATTCAAGCTATTCTTTCTATGATCACTGCTACTTTTTTTCCTCTCATTTGGACTAGTTCTCTTCCTCCCTTTTTTTTTTATTGTTGTGCTGGGTGGGGGTACACTGTGGAATTTACAAAACTTCTTGCAATGTATCAAATATAGCATACTTGAATTCATCCTCTCCATCATTCTACTTTATCCCCCCTTGCCCCAGTCCTTGAATAGTTTCAACAGGTATCATTTTTGCATTTACATACATGTGTACACAGTATTTGCACTATATTCACCCTCCACACTCTTTTCCCACCTCCTTCTTTTCCTACTGGTACCCCATCCCCCAAGCAGGACCTGTTCTGCCCTCCTGTTCTCCAATTTTGTAAAAGAGAAAAAAATGACATTTTTGTTTGTTTATGATAGCTACACAGGGAGTTTCATTGTAGCAATTCAATATATGTATGTGGTATAGCCCAATTGGTTCATCTTCTCTATTTTAATTCTTTCTACCTTTGTCCCCTTCTTACATGTTTTCAACAGTTTAAAAAATTCTAAATTCATCTTTTTTTTTTTTCACTTTTTTTTTTTTGACAGCACTGGGGTTTGAACCCCAAGCCTCACGTTTGCTTAGGCAGGCGCTCTACCACTTGAGCCACTCTGCCAGCTCTAAATTCATCTTTGTATAGAAAGTACATCAACCATATTCATCTTCTTAACTTCCTTCTTTTACCCTCCCCTTCACATGTGACCTCCACATAGCATGACCTATTTTTCATAATATTGCTATATTTGTACTAGGTCTGTTTTCCACATGTGGGAGAAAACATAGGACTTTGGTTCCCTCCAATCTGTTCTCCAGTCAGCAGCTATAATGCTCTTTCTAAAACAGCTGTCAGATTAGTTCACTTTGCTGCTTGGTTCCTACTGCCTGGTTCAATATCCACAAGACCTGATCCCCAGTTTCCCTTCCAATATCATTCACTGAAACTAACCGTTTTGTTCACCATGTTCTAGTCAAACTACCTTGTTTTTAGTTCCTCAGATACCAAAACTTTTTTTTTTGGTGTGGTCTTAAAGCTTTTGCACATGCTGTCCCTTTTGCCTGAAAAACTCTTTCCCCTCTTGGCTGACTACATGGCTCAGTTCAAATGTCTCAATTCATTCAGTGATCCACTTGTAATCTAGATTGGGTCTTTCCTATTAGTCTTTTTTATGCATCATGTTCTTTCCCTCCCATAGAGTTTATCACTACTTAGAATGTAAATTTATGTACATAGTTGTTTAATGTATATTTTTACCAGTTGAACTTTCCACAAGGACTAAGAATCCATCTGCTGTGTCAACCACTTCTAGCCAGAAATTGGCATAGTATATTGAACACAGAAGGTACTCAGAAATACTGTGAATGAATAACATGAACCATTGTTTTTGTTTGGAAGACTTGGGAATACAGTTGAAGCATGAAATTTTATTCTTTTTTCCCTTCCACATACCAGAGGTTTTGAGTGGGTGTAAAGTGGAATGTCTAGGTTCATATTTCTCCAGTGCCTATTACTCTCAAACTGGCTTGAAAATCAGTCCTATTTTTTTAACTGGGAAAGAAGCAAACATTCTTTCCTTTAAAATCCTTGAAGGACCATTATTCATTGAAAGTGAGAAAAATGATTTAGCTAATCCCCTAATATCCAAATCTCTTGCCACTTGTCTTCTCCCTGACTTTTTGCTGATTCTTTGCCCTGTGGTGTAGTGAAGAAGCAATTCATTCTCATTTGGAAGGCATGGATTTTTGGCTTTGCCCTGACATTTATCATTTATGTGACTTTAGATGAGCTATTTTATCTCTGAGCCTTAGTCTCTCATATGGGAATAACATTACCTGGCTAGTATATTTTGTGAGACTAGTCTAAGGATTAAACAAATAACATATAAAGGCATTTGACTAGCTCCACAAATGCAAGCAGTTATGATTTGTAAAAGTCAATCTACTTTTTTTGTTTGTTTTGTGGTGCTGGGGATCAAACCCAGGGTCTCAGACATGCTAAGCAAGTGCTTAACCACTGAACTACATTCCCATTCCCTAATCAACTTCTTTTAAAAGAGAATTACAACGAATAAGTGCATTTTCTTCAGTTTTTTAATATACCTCACATAAGGAACATGTTAAACCATCTAGGTTTATAGGATGACCTTTTCCTGTAGAATTCAAATGAGTTGGCACTAGTCTCTCCTATGTACAATTTAAAATCTTCATCTTTTTTTTCCCTCCCATCCCTTCATATCTCTGAGTATTGTTAGAGAAATTAAATATATCTTAATCACTTCCAGCTCTGAATTTCTTCTGAATTTTATTTTTTGTTTTTAAAATAGTTTTTAGTGGTCTTAGGGTTGAACTCAGGGCCCCATGCTTGCTAGGTTGGTAGGTAGGCCCTCCACTGTCATGCTCTCAGCCTGTTTTTTTTTTTTTTTTTTTTTTTTTTTTGCTTTAGTTATTTTTCAGGCAGGGCCTCCAGTTTTTGCCTGGGCATACCTTGATCCTCCTACCCATGGCCTCGGGTAGAGCTAGGATCACAAAGTGTTGCCACTGCACGTAACTTATTGAGATGGGGGGGGTCTCAATCATTTTTTGTCTGGACTGGCCTCAGATGTGATGTATACCTGCATCCCATACCTGCATTCCAATCTTCTGGATTTTCAGTCTCACACAGATCTTAGTCCTGTTATTAATTTTTCCAAAGCACCTATAACCCAAGGCAATTGATTCTATTAGATATTTGCTGTCAGTAATGAGGGTAATGGAAAAAACTTTCCTGAAGCACAGCAGACAGCTTAAAAATATTACTATTAGGCATAACCATCCTAAAATTCCTCAGCCACCCTCTCAAAGCACTATCTTACTGGCCCACTTTTTCCCCAGAACCCAGCCAGCTACCAAGTTGCTCTGGCCATGAAACTTTCTTTCCAGACTGCCTTCATATTTCCTCCACTCTCATTTTCCGTGGCCCATCAATCCTTCTCTTAGGCTCCTAGAAACCCAGAGTGTGTGTAGTTCATTCTGTAATTTAGATTCCTGTTTCCCTTTCCAAACCTAGCTAGGTCTACCTTTGTTTCTCCATAAAGTCATTAAGATACTTTTCCACAGGGTAGTGTTTTCTGGGCATTCATCTTCAGCCAACACAAAGGATTGGAAGGAGACTTTAAAATACCAGTTTTTTATTTACAGGATTAAAATGTTAGGTTTGGTTTCTGAAGCAATACAGAATAAATAGCATTTTCCCTATGTCTTTATTTCTTCCTAATCTATAGAAACTATCCATTCTATTTTTCTTCCTCCCACTAACTCACCTATAGAATGGCCACAAAGTTTTAAAATTTTCAAACAAAATTTCGCTACTACATGTATACTTTTGGCTAAAGGCCCTCATATTAAATTATCACTTCATGTCAGGAGTAGCTAAGGCAAGACTGACTTTTCATGTGCCTGATTTATTTTCATATGCAGTGTCTCAGAAAATTTTACTTTCAGCTAAGGGGATCCATGCAATATCATCCTCCATGCCTGCTGTATACACTCCTAGTCCTCATTCCTAGTCAAGGTTAGTTTATTTTCTGTTCACAAAAATCACAAAATTATTACTAGGACATGAATGCAAATATATAGGAAATACACAAGGAATCCTGCTGTGCCATCAGTCCCCTTATGGAAGCTGCCCATCTGTCAGCACATTTGTAAGCTGTCTTTGTTATATGAGCATCTTGGCAGTGGTCCCCTATATTGGTTTTCTAAGGCTACTTTAACAAGATATCATAGTTGGGTGGCTTATAACAACAGAAATTTATCTGCTCATAGTTCTTGAGGCTAGAAGTCCAAAATCAAAACATTGGCAGAATGATTATTCCTTTGAAAGTCCTAGGGAACAACCCTTTCTTGCCTTTTCCTAGCTTCTGATGTTTTCTGGCAATCTTTGACATTCCTTGGCTTGTCACTTCCAACATCTGCCTTTTTCTATATATAGCCTCTTCCCTATTTGTGTCTCTGTGCCCAAACTTCCCTCTTCTTGTAAGGATATCAATAATTAAATTAGGGTCCAGTATAACCTCTTATTAACTTGATTACATCTGTAAAGACTGTTTCCATCTAACATCACATTTTGACGTCATGTGTGGGCATAAACTTTTAGTGAATATTATTTAACTTAATACACCCCACTATTACTACATGGGGCCAGCTTTAGAGAGCCTCAAAATTCCCAGGACACAGACTTGTGCATAATTGTCTTCAGTGAAAAAAATTTTTATGCATGTTTTGCTTTTTTTGAAACAGGGTCAGCCCAAGCTGATTTCAAACTTGAGATCCTCCTGCCTCAGTCTTCCAAGTGCTGGTATTATGGTCATGAGCCACACACTTGGTTCAACCATTACTTTTTAAAACAATATCAATTTCTCTGGAACTAAGAGACTATAGTGTTTTTTGATCCCCCTTAATGTTCTAGCTAAACTTTACACTTTTTCATGTAGGTGAGTCTGTGGATCATTTCTGCCAGTTTCCTGTGTTTCAGTATTTGTCACCATTTGACCACTTGCCATTCACAGATTGCTATCCCCAGGGAAGAACGTATGAGGGACCAGGGGAGGCCCATCCATGGTCATTGTCTTATATTGATTTTGACTGTTATTTTCCTGATTCATTTTTTGTTTTTCTCCTACCCATCAATGAAAAATGAAGCCACGATATTGTTCAGAATGGCTCAAGGAGGTGCAGGGATGATTTATTCTTCTAAGGTTGACTTCCACAAATCCAGACTTTCTAAGGCTCTTTTTGGTTGGAATCAGATGAGGTGGGGAAAGTGTGAGGGGGTGAATATGGTGCAAATACTGTGTACACATGTGTGTATATGGAAAAATGAGACCTGTTGAAACTGTTCCAGGAATAGGGGGAGGAGGAGATAAAGGAGAATGATGGAGGGGGTGAATTCAAGTGTAATATATTTGATATATTAGAAGAACTTTTGTAAATGCCACAGTGTACTCCTACTCAGCACAGTAATAAGGCAACCTTTGAGGTTCCTACCATTTCTTTTCTGGGTTGTCTTCTCATACCATGGTGGGGGAGAGACATAGCAGTGTGCACAGAGTAAAAGTGGCCTATATCAAGATAGGGTTGGTAGAAATGAAAACTGTGTTTAATTTAAATCAACAATTACATGACATTGATTTTAATGCTTCTGCATTCTCCCTAGATAAAACTTTCCCAGGTCATAGCGTTTTATAATTTGGCTCCAGGGTTCAGAGAAATTTGACACAAATCCATCAATCGAGAATGAGTCTGATTTTTTTGTGGTATCTGTCAGGTGATGGTGTACTTCAGTGGTTCAGGATAAGGTGCCTCATGGTACTTTGAGGAAGAAGCATTAACTGGATGTTTCAGACATCCCAACTCCTGTGCTTTGCCTTCCATTGCATCATTCTCTGGTTTGCTCGATGTTTTAGGTGATGAAGCCAACCCTTGCAAGTTTCAGGCCTGTAACGAATTTTCTGAGTGTTTGGTCAACTCTTTGAGTGGAGAAGCAAAGTGCAGATGCCATCCTGGATACCTGAGTGTGGATGAGCTACCATGTCAGAGTCTCTGTGACCTGCAGCCTGACTTCTGCTTGAACGATGGAAAATGTGACATTATGCCTGGACATGGAGCCATTTGTAGGTATGTTGTAGTTAGAGATTTTGGCTTCAAAAGTTGCAGATACTTCCTTTGAAGAAATGGACTGACCCTGTAATGTTGGGGTAATCAGTGTCATATTTATTAAAGTTAGGCAGTAGATGGATGCTGTCTAATTCTCATGTGAATACTGAGTCATTTAATAGGCCTAAATTATACACACAGTTCAACTGGATATTTTATGCTGTTAGGGAGCTGTGAAAAATTGTCTAAGAGTACTTGGAGTAACTTGAGATCTTTGTGTTACGGTTTTTAGTGGTGATGATAAAACTGTCAGTGTTCAAGTAAGATTTAGACCTAAGATTAACACTATATCTGCAGGTGAAAACAAAAGAGTTATATTGTTCTGCTTATATTATATTCTTAATGACTTTGATTTTCTTATAGTCCTACTGAGTATTTAATAATAAAGTAAAACAAGTAGTATTTGAAGTTTTCAAAGTGATGACAAATATATATTTCTTTTCAGTAATCTGAGATCCATTTTTCCCCACCCAATGTCTCCCCATTCATAATACAGACCAGGCACAGGTATATGTGGGGGAGGTGTATGTGGGGTAGGTTTGAGGTGTATGTGGAGTAGGTTTACTTTGCTTCCTTTATCTATGTAGAGTGTAACAACACAGCCTGTGGTAAGCACCAGATGTACAGATTCAGTTAGCCTGGCCATCCTTCCCTGCCCAATCCCCTTAGACAAAGCCAAACAAATTAACTTTCCAATGACACACAACCAAAGCTGCATGGCTGTAAGAAGAGAGAATGCTGAAAATGAACAGGAAAAACATAAGTTTGAGGACAATTTTTGAATGTCAAAATGGTCAAGTGTTGGCAGATACCAAAACCAGAGGAAATAGTTAGAAATGATCCAGACCCTTTTATGCAAAAAGTATGAAGATTAGGTAGAAAACTAAGGGGAAAACAGTTTCTTACTGTCCAGAGAAATTAATATTTTACAAAGCAGTGATTTGCTACTCTAGGTATTGAAAACATTTTGCACACGTCAGTGGCCTCAGGGTTTGAAGGATCTCTAGTGTGGTGAAAGGACACATGGGGTGTGTACAGGTTCTAGACCCAGCTCTGTTGACTAACTGTGGTCTAATGCTAGTCACATTCCTTCCTAGGCTTGTTTTTTGTCCTCCATAAATAAGGAGGTTGAATGGAATCATTTCTTTAAGTCTGTTTAATTTCATTCAGTCATTTACAAACAGTCATTAAAGACCAACTAGGTCTGTGCCAGGCATTATGCACAGCTTTAAGTCATATGCTAATTCAACCTGTATATCCAGGCTCTTTTTTTTCTCTCTCTTGGAGATAGAACTTAGGTCCTTGTACATGCTAAGCAAGCACTCTACCACTGGGCTACATCCCCATCCATATATTCAGCTTTTTATGAAGCTTCATATGGCCAGCATTTATATCTCTACTTTTCTCCATTCCCACTGAAGATTCTGCTATTTATTGTCACTTCGAATGGTGTGATTCAGATCTTGGATTTGATGACTGTTTCTTACAGATGCCGGGTGGGTGAGAACTGGTGGTACCGAGGGAAGCACTGTGAGGAGTTTGTGTCTGAGCCCTTAGTCATAGGCATCACCATAGCTTCCATGGCTGGCTTTCTTCTCATCACTTCTGTAGTCATCTTCTTCCTTGTCAGGACTCTTCAAGCTCAGAATGTCAGTAGAGAAACAGAGAGGCCTGTCAGGTAAGTAAGGAAAAGAGTCCTCTGATGGAATAAGTTAAGTTAAGTTAATTACCAAATATTGGACAAAGATCTGGGTGGAAGTGCGAAAGCTATAAAATTAAATAAAGCATGATTCCTGTCCTCAAAGGGGTGTCACATTAGGCAGAAACATATGCAGCACTATGAATGAGATGCTAAGGAGCCTAAATGAAGGATGAATTAGTTTTCCTTGGGGGAGAGAGTCTTAAAAGTTTTAGACATAGTGATAATATTTTGTGGGATATTGACAGTTAGTGGGACTCTTTTCAGCTAGTTGATTGAGAATGAGCCAAGTTGGGAGCTAGGCATGAACCACTAGGTGCACTGGAGGAACTGTATCATTGAGTGTGACCAAAAGGCCTGTTTCAAGGTCAGGAAAGGCTTGGAGAGGGGTTGATGGAGGTGAGATGGAAAAGGTGAGTTTCCCTTGGTTGAGAGACAGATGTGTTACAGTTTGTTTTTCTTTGGCTTGTCCCAATGGCAATTAGTCAGATATTAAATTTGGGTAAAAATCAGACAAGAAATGAAATTTGGCTCTCTGTTTAAATAAATGTGGTGTTTAGTTAAATATGGCTTTGTTAATGGGTGAAATAAAACCATTGCTAGACTAGAGATTCCAGGACTTTTGGGTTGTTTTGTGATCATAAGCCCTGGTTGTACTTAGATTCTGTGCTACTAGAGTCTTATAAGAGTTACTTTAGGTCAGTCTGTTTCCCCTCCTGCCAACTTGGCTAAGGAGACACCCTTCTTGGGGTCCTAGAGCACCTAGGACATACCTCCAGCTTTTTGTTGACTGAATTTTCAACAGACTGTAATCTCATTTAGGGCTGAGATCCCAATAAATCCTTTGTATCATTAGCAGTTAGAATAATCCTAGGCCTATACCTCTGTTCAGTAAATATTTTTAGAACTGAATTGAATTGAATTTAGAGTCAGATCCCCCCATCCCTTAACATTGACATTTTTGTCAGATTTTCTGTATGGTTGCACACTGAGTTTCCATATGTAAAACTCTGGGAACGATAGAGCTGTATTTGTTTAGTGAAATAGTGTCCTTGGGCAGACATAGCTCCCAACCAACATTTTTGAGTGTCAGGCACAGTGGGAAAATAAGATGAATGAAACAGAGTAGTGATAGCACCTGACAGTTTTTAAGACTGATCTGGATATTTCTCATAATTACTTCCCCATCCCATTTGTATCTATTTCCTTTCTTTTCCTTCCCCAGCAGAAATCTTGTCCCAGATAAACAGACTTCCAAGTAGTTGAGCATCCAAAGAAGATCCTGAATAAATCATGTCTTTCTTCTTTTGTGGCTCTAGCAGGCAGCCTGACAGCCTGTCATCCCTGGAGAATGCTGTAAAGTGCAACCCTAGGTATGAAAGCCACGTGGTTGGATGCAAGCAACACGAGGAGCCTCAGCATTGCTTCTATAGCGCTGCTAGTGAAGAGATGATTGGTGGTCTGAGCAGAGAAGAAATCAGACAGATGTATGAGAGCAGTGACCTTTCTAAAGAGGTTGGAGACTGCATTTCTGTTTCTGTATTGCTGCTGTTGTTTCTGCTAGTGTGGTGGTGGTGGCAGTTGGTATGTGTGTGTCCATATGCATGGAAATATTTCTTGTTAGTTCTTACCTCATGATATCCCCCAGTTAGTATAGTATGCAGGAGGTATTCAACTTAGAGCTTTACCTTATTCCTACCCATTGATTCCCTTTTCCTTTATTACCAAATATTCCCTACTTTTTCCCTTATTTCCTTAGAAATACATGTTGGAATTAAAGCATACATGTACTATCCAGAATGGCATCTATAGAACCTTCCATTTTGCTAAAGGCGCAATTCTTTCTTACAGCCCTTGCTTACGTAGTTCAGAAACTTGCACATCTTTATAATAATTAGAACTTTTAAGAGGCTGTTGAAGTTTTTTCATACAATAGGTGACCTCTTTTCTTTTTCTGTTTTAGGAAATTCAAGAGAGAATGAGGATTTTGGAACTGTATGCCAATGATCCTGAGTTTGCAGCTTTTGTGAGAGAACATCAAATGTTAGCATTTGCATCACCCCTCTCTCCATAGTCTCAATAGCCTGTGCCACCAGCATAAGCATGTGATTCTTGTCCATGTGACAAAGGTCTTAGTGATAACCAAGATTTCTTGAATTCACTTAAGTTTATGCATGTCCACACAGATTATCTGATTTATTCTTTACAGTGACTTTAAGTTGGATGTTTCTTATTTGAGGAAAGGAAGCCTTGGAGAAATAAAGAGATTTATACAAGATGATAATGATAGCAATAAGCACAGAAGTTTTAAAATTAAGACTATCTGTTTTGGCCTGGAGATACTTAGGCAATGTCACTGAGACCCTGTCTCAGAAACAAAAACAAAACAACAAAAAACCCCATCATCTTTGAGCTAAGACATCCAAAGAAAGGATTTATCCTAATTAAGATTAATGACTATGTGCTTCAGTTTCTTCTGATAAACTACTTGGCATTAAAAGGTACAAAAACCATCTATGAAACAAAGAAGATGTAAACAAGAGGGTACTGTGCTGTGAAACAAAAGAAAGTACAAAGATACTACAACTTTAAGTGGGATATTCGAAGATGAAAGATGTTACTAAAAATAGTAGGCACATAGTCCATATAGCATTTTCAGTTGTTACTTAGTCCCCAAGTTCTCACTTACAATATAGCCCAAGAAAATGTTAATGGACTTAATTTAGGATTCAGTAAAAGCACAAACATGGTCTTTGTAGAGTTTTTTTTTTTTTAATTGGCACTGGTGACGTTAGGAACATAGCTTGGTGAAGTATCACCACAAAAATGCATTTTAGTACATTCTTGCTTTTCTAATAAATTGCTATTTGTTTTTTCATGCAGGGAAGGGCTTTAATCCAAATGCCATTTTGACACCAGTTACAAGCCTGGAGAAGATGGGGACTACTTGTTACCTATGTCGTATAATTAACCTGGACGATGAACACTGTTGGAAGAGTTTTCTGTTAAAAAAAATAATAAATGTGGGACATACTTTTTCTTTTTTCCTAGCTTAAAATTTTAGAGTGTAGCAGTAGTTGTGATAACTTTTATTTCAACAAAGACCAAGAGCTTATGTATAAAAAAATTAGAACTGCATAAGTTCTAGAAAGTATTCTTTAAAAAAAAAAAAAAGCCACACCTGGGAGTTAGGGCTGTGATTTCTGTCTGCTTTTGAATATTTAAGGGTGTCTCTTAAGAATTGTGCCTCAGGATTCCCAAAAGGAAAATAATGTGAACTTTTACAAAGGGAAGTTGGGCTTAGTAAGTCACTATTTTGTAGTGTATTTCTTAATGTCAAGTAGAATGGGGAAGCCTCTAGAGTAATATTAATATAGTTTGAAGTCAGATGTGTATCTAAATAAAATACTACTTTTTGTTTGCTTTATGAACAAACTGCTGAAGAAAAAAAATCATGTTTTGCTGCAGTATAGAATTAGACTTGTATATGATGCTTCTCTCAGAGTTTGGAATTTTTGAGCATATTAATCAAGACCACAGTATTGTTATGGTAGCTATATCAATATCCTATTTTTAAAGCTTTCAGACGTAGTGCCTGTGAATAAAGTGTAGATGGTTCCTCTTAGTCTAAAGACAGACATATTTGCGGGCAGGGAGGAAAGGGGGTTGGATCAAGGCCACAGCACTGACAATACGCTTTGCCAGTTGATTGGTGGACTGAGTCAGTACTGATAGGTTCCCTGCTTCTGAGAGGGAAAAATGTCTCGGGCAAATCCTGTTCCTTCTTAGTTCTTGGTAAATTAATTTGGAAAACAGTACATACCTACCTCAAATAATATAGATTAGCTTGTTTGCATTTCTTTTCCTATCTAATTCCCACTCACACAAAACAGAACAATAATTTTATTGCAATTAAAATATTCTTAAAATTGTACATATTGGAAAAGTTCATACCTTATATAAATTTTCTTTTTTTGGTGGTACTAGGCACCAGGGACTGAACTCAAGGCCTCAAGTTTGTTTGCTAGATAAGCACTCTACCACATGATCTATGCCCCTACCCCTCTAGGATTTTTGAATGGGTTTCTTGAAAGGGCAATGGCCAAATAATCATCACTATTAATATTTAATTGCATAGGCAAAATGTTATTATTAAAACAGTTATTTTATGTGGATGCCTTCATGGTTGCCAAAAAGAACTTGAACCTCTTGATTTATGTTTGAATAGATATAATTAACCAGGGATAAGATGACCATGCTCGGGATCTGAAAAAGTATTTGATAAATATTTTTAAAGCACTGTGTTAAAGTTTTGTCACTTCTAAATGCTTGATTTTATTTGTAAAACTTGAAGAGATTTCTGCTTACTATTTAAATTTTTTTCCCTAAACTTGTGTTAGATGAAAAAAAATTTAAATCACAAATTAAGAGTGCTTTCTGGAAGAATTCTAGATAACCATAAAGGTTGTCTACAGCTGGTCACCATGCAAAACAAATAGGAAAGGCACAAACTGAGCGATTATTTTCCATGAGCCAGTGGTGAAGTGGGAATTTGGGAAATCTGACATCTATCTGTCTCTGATTTACTTTTGCAAGAACTTTTCATAAAGGAGCAAATTATTTGGGTCTGTAGGAATGTCTGCTCTATAAGACTAAAGGAAACTCTGTCAGGAAAAGAACAGGAGGCCTCAGTTTAGAAATAAAGACTTTTATCCTACCTTTGCTAAAGCTGAACCACAGTGGGAAAAACTGAAGAATGCAGGATCCCCAGTGAAGATCCACTTCTGTATGAGTAAGTAGAGGGCTAAAGGAGCTATTAATCAGTTGGGGAAAAAAAAAAAATCCCTGAAGAGCTTCTTTTACAAAGATTTCCCGAAGGATATTCAATGGAATGTAGTCATTGAAAAATCTTAAGCCAAACTGTCATTTAGAATGTGAGACTGAGGAATGAAATATTCTAAATATTAGAACATTGCCATCAACCTAGCAACATAATTTTGAATAAGACTATCACAGTATTTAAAAACAATAAAACGTAGTTAAGTACTATAAAAATGTGAGTAAATCCCCCCTCCCCCCATTTATAAGGTACAGTGGAGTCTTGTAGATGTAGCTTTATAATTGAGTGACACAATCCTTTTCTTATGGGTTTTGTATAAAGGGGAATTTATTTGATAACAGTGGTCTGTTTTCACCATTGCAATGGTTTAAGAGTATTTGTTCACATTGATGTGGCTTTTCCCCATATAGTTTACATAATAAAATAAGTGTAGGTTTCATCCGATTTTTTCCACCTCTAATTTTCCTTCTGCAGTATCTGGTCACCATGGGTTGGCCTCCCCCACCCCCTTTTATTTTATTTTTTACTGCATAGTGAATTGTAGTATAGTTGCACAGCCCTGACTTAGTATTACCTCTGACAAATACTGCAAACTATGCAAATATTCTTTGTAGACTCTAAAAATATCTTGTCTTAAATATGATACCTGAACTAGCTATTCATTTGCACACTTGTTTTATAGGTTTGCCTTCTATTTCATGATTTTTAGATAGCTGGTACATTTGTGTCATTTTCGACAATGGGCACCTTGATCTATCAGTCTCTGAATTGAATTTCTAATTTGCAATGGGAGGAGAAAACAAACATATTTATTCTATATGAAACAGATTGCATAGGAGAATAATTTATCTTTATTAAATTGAGATGTTTTAGCCAAGAAAAATATGGGTCAGTTTTTTTTTTTCCTTCTCTAACATGTTTTTAACAATTCCCATTGGAAATGGGTGGGGTCAGTCTTCATTTACAATCCAGCTGCAATGAGTCAGGATCCTTGCTCATTCTATTCCCAAGTGTGTAATAAATGCAGAAAATGATGCAAAGGTCACAGTCATCAAGCTGATTGCATTGTGTCCCACAAAGGATCCTGGCTGGAAGTGGGAAGATGGGCTAGTACCATGATGCAATTGATGATGTAAAGAATTTGCTTGGAAATTTCCTTGAGTCATGCATTTTGTAAAACCTTACACTACTCTTATAAGTTAATAAGAGACAGATTAAACCACTCCTCTCAAGAAAGTAAGACAGTCCCCTTAACACAGTTATAAATACAGCCTGGACTAAATGATTCCTCATCCTGTGTTTTTTTCCTCTTTAATTACTTCTTTGGAGATTAAGGGTATGTATGGGAAAAATAATCATGGTATCAGAGATGCAGTTAATTGCATATTGGGGCTTTTTGATGTTTCTTAAGCAACCCTGTATATAACATAATATATGTTCAATATGGAGTATGATTAATGAAGGACTTTTCTTTTTCCTCTTGGTTGTAATGACATTTTATCCAAATTGGGATCAAATAAATTCATGTTACTGTATTATTTTCTTGAAATTACCCTAGTCTTGATATAAGTTAACTAGAAATAAAAATTTTAAGTCTATGTCTGCATTTTTTGTCAATTAGGAATAAAATGGTAGATCTCTGCAACAGTTCAATTGTAATCACCATTCAAAGACACATACTAAGTGGATGCACTGTGAAATGGAAAATCATTCTTTGATTTTGGTGCAATGAGGATGAGGAGAATTGTAGACAAGTCTGGAGCCCATTTATGGTCTTGGATTTTGTGGCTAGTTCACAGTACTGTCATTATTTGTCCCCTCTTGACTTTTGCTCTTTCAAATACTTAAACTTTCATTTTTTCCTGATCTGCATAAGGCAGGGATGGAAAAAAATCAGTGAAATTGGTTAAAAGAGATTAAGTGGGGTAGCTAGCACCAGCTGTCTTTTAAGGAGAGAAAGAAATTGGTGACCTGTCTAAAGAGAACAGAGAAGACAAAAATATGGCAACAGCAATCTAAACCAATCTTGCAAGGGAGGGGCAGGAGGAAAATCAGCTAACAGTTACTCAAGCAGTCAAATTCTTATGTGCGGTAATCAGAAACCTCAGTTTGCATGGTGTCTTGCAGCAGGACACAAAGAAATCCTAAATCATGCAAACTTCTTATGTTTGCATGGTGTCTTGCAGCAGGACACAAAGAAATCCTAAATCAGTTTGAGAAATAAGAGGGAGGATGGTCTTGATTTGACTCCAAAACCATTTGGTAAAAACACAAGGTGGGAGAAATATGTCTGATAAATACCTGTTGACTGAATAATTAGTGACCTAGTTTTAGGAGAAACAGTGTGTAATAGCATTTTTTTAAAAAGCCCTGATTGAGGATTCCAAGATGGCGGCTAGAGGTAGGAAGCAGAAAGCGACCCTCCTATAGTGAAATGTTGGAGAGACGCCGGAGACACACTTTGCAGGCATAATCACTGAGAAAAGGCATAACTTTGACCCCTCCACATCTCCAGCCGGTGCAGAGAATCTCCACTTCACGTTAAACGGAGAAACGAGGAGGGCCCCCGGGGCTGCCAGTGGCCGGCGCCCATACGGCTTGGGAAGACGCGGACCAGGTGAGCTTCGTATACTGGTACCCCCAGACAAGCCTGGGCCAGAGCAGCATAGCCCCCTGGACAGACTGACCTCCACCCGGGAAAAAAGAGAAACTGAGTAATAAGCAATAAGAACAGTAAGACACGCTGGAAAGAGGGTGGGGCGCCTGAGCGCTGAAGATTGGGGAAGGGAATCCTTCCTGGGACTGTAAATAAACAAGCCGGGCAGGCAGGAGAGGTTCTGCCGGGAGCGGGGCGTGCACCCAGCAACCAGGAGCAGGAAAGCTTGTGAGAGTGGAGGAGGGAGGAAAACTCCACAGGAGAGGAGGAAAGACCCACTTCCCACGTGAACTGCAAACAAACATGGCAGCCGGCAGGAGCAGCAGCACCGCCCAGTAAGCAGGAGCAGGAAAGCTTCTGAAAGTGGCAGTGGGAGGAAAACTTCAGAGGAGAGGGGGAAGACCCACCTCCCACATGA